CGAAGACAAGGCCAAGCCAATCGTATGGCGCAAGTCGGCAGCCAAGCAGTATCTCAAGAAAGCATTCCGGGAAGGCCTCATTCCAGACAATATTTCCACAAACGAGGATATGGAGGAAATTTGGAACGACCTTTGCAAGGATCAACCTGCGTTTGCGAGAATGGAATTTGATGCTGCTTTCATTCGTAGACTCCAAGGGGTGAGAGATGACTATCTAAAAAAGGTGGTGAGGCGCGATAATGATGTGGCTGCCTACTTGGCCGCAAAGCAGAACCATCCAACACCAGAATTCAACAGTCGTGGGGAGCCACAGTGGAATGGGTCTCAAGCCCAGAAAGACTTGAAAGTGCTTGTTGCCAGTGGTGGCCACGAAAACAAAAAACTCAAAGAGCTCTGGAGAGTTCTCAGGCCTATCAAGTGTACCCCCTTTATATTTTCAGAGACCACATCTACCAGGAAGAGAGGCTGCTGAAATTTGATAACTACACTGCAGCGCTGAAGCAGAAAAAGATTGATAAGTTGCAGTACTAGCCTATTAAATTCTAATTTAGGGCGCTAAATATCAAAGAGAGGCTCGCCCTTTTCCATTTTGTACTGGACGAGGACATTCACCGCCTCGAAGCACATTTGGAGCTTCTCGGCCACAGTGTAGCTGTCGTTTGGGTTGTTCTTGCAGCGGAAACGCTCACTGAGAACTTCAAATTTCTTGAGCTTACCATTGTAGATCTCATGACGTTGGCGGGCCCGTGTCTTGAATTCTTTGACTTCTTCAGGGTCCAGAGTGTTCTGAGTGCTCATTTCATTTGGGAAACCGCGGTAGCCCTCATCACCGATGGCCTTCTTACCGGATGAGTGTAGTTTTTGCATGAGCCCCTTTCCCGAAACATTTTGGCATCATTGTATGTTCCAGCTTTGTGTGGACCACTAAGCCAGATGCATCTGCTTTTGAAGAGGTCAATGCCCACCTCATAGTTGAATCCAGCAGCATGGTGCTTGAAGGAAAAATAGGCAGGATCCTTCGGAACATCGGAGTCCCCAGGCTCCAGCGTAACAAGGTGAGTGCCATCAACAGTCATGACCCAGATGTCAGTCTGCTGAAATTCTGGCCAGACATTTACAAGATCACCATTTGCATGCTTATTGCGAAGAGTTCGAAGCATCAGAGTGAACTTCGCATTTTGTCGTTTGTTGGCATAGTCTACACACTCAATAATGGGATTTGCTGCATCTGCATACATCATAGACAGCAGCTGGGCGCATTTCTTTTAGCACATATGGAATAAGACCTGACAGCACATCATCCTTCAGTAGCTTTCTGACTGCATTCCATTCCTCCTTTGACGGGCCTTCTTCCACTTCGTCTCTGTCGTCGGCTTCGTCCTCGTCCATGTTGGGCTGCTCGTACTAGCTATTTCCACTTCTCTACTAGTATGGCAGCTCCAGATTCCATGCAAAGCGAGTGAAGTGGAGTCGATGATTCGAGTTTCGAAAACTATCGTACGAAGTGGTATTAGTTAGTCTAATAGTTGCGCGAAAAAGAGACCGATCGAGTGGAGGTCATTGACCCTGCCGGTAGCAATTGTACGTGTGCCAGCCGTAGAAAACAAGGTTGACAACCCCACCCAAATTTAGGGACGGGTTTCAAAAACGTCCCTAAATGAAACCTGTCCCTAAATCCGACCCTAATTTAGGGACGGATTATGGATTTAGGGACGGTTTTTCAAAAAACGTCCCTAAAATTTAGGGACGGATTTCAAACCCGTCCCTAATTCCAAAACGTCCCTAATTTAGGGACGTTTTTCGAAAACCGACCCTAAAGGTTTAGGGACGTTTTTGAAACCCGTCCCTAATTTAGGGGCGGATTTTGTCACGACTCAACTGACGTCAGTGACGTCAGAATCCATTAAGTAATGAAATCACTCACGACTGCCCATTATCCACGATTGAGGCACGCTCCAGATCTTCGTTGGATCACAGTGATCGACATTGCAACGTGTCATTGCACCCATCCCCACCATCCAAACCGGAAACATTATTGGACAACAGAGCAGCACAACAACACTATGGCAGCTCCACAATAAAAAGTTTCAGCCTGAACCTTCACTCTACATCTCAACGTGGTTGCTTGTCAATTGTCAACTCCTATTCACAAGAGTCAAGCAAGTCAATACGACTGCAGAAGTCGACCCAATGTTGATGACAAGCATGGCTCAACGAATCCTTGTAGCTCTGGTACTGATTTGGACATGTTCCCTTCATTGTGCCTTGTCATTTCCAGATGGCAAGTCCAATTCTGGGGGCATTATTGTACCGGCATCCACTACCGGCACTGTGTCGTCTACTGGCGGTACGTCAACGCCCCAGACGTTTGGTTTCCAGGAAGATGCCAAGACCGGTGAAGCCAAATTCATCGAGATGGACCATCCTTCTACGGCCACAACAACAAAGGACGACCAACAAAACCCATTGGGTCCATCGACACGACAATCGTCATCTTCTGGGAACTACCATATCAAGGCTACCATCTTGACCGTACTCATGGCCGCTCTCTGGTCTCCAATGTTCTACCCAACAGCAATAATAATACCCCCAGAACATGTGCCGCTGCTGTATACATTCCGTGGCATTGTGACTTTCTTGTACTTGCTGGAATGTGCTCTATCCAGTACACGACGCTACCTATCCAACAGCTTGTCTCCGCAAGACCTTCAACAGTACTTGAAGGATCTCAAAGAGGCATCTCCCACCATTGTTTGGCTGATGGAGTGTTATCACTACCGACATGTGAGAAGGTATCGGAGCAGTAGCCGTGGAAGGAGACGGTCGTCATCGACTCACCACGAAAAGGTGGTGACTCATCGTGCTCGGAAAGAGTTTGCCATTGACCGTTGGAGAGATGCCACCGAAACCAAGTCCTTGGACCGAGCCGTGACGATTGGGGAGGATACGGATCCCTTTTCCTGTGCGACCAATGGTGGGAGCAGTACTACATGTAGTACTCCCCTGATGAGTGGTGGCACCTTTGTCAAGACAACGCTAACCAAGTTGTTTTGGTTGACCAATCCTTCCATTGGGCATCGGTACTTGATGGAAAAGGAACTCTTTTATCACCAGGAAAGTCGTCACGATGTTCACCACGAGTTTACCATGAAATTGCAACTGCAGAATGTGGACTACCGTAACAAGATATTGGTGGTCCGAACGGGGTTATCCGATGTGGCGTTTGCATCCCAACTGTGGTTTTGGATAGCCTCTTTGCTAGGATTGACGGTCCCCTATCGCATGTGGTTCTCTCGGCATTGTTTGCAGACCAGCCTGAACATTGTCAAGGAACTGGAGGCGTAGCCATTGCAAGCTACGCACTAGCTAGTCTAGCTAGGTACGAATGTATCGTACATGTAGCCATAAAGGTCTCCTCGCCAGACACAGATGATGGACATTGTACCGCTTCCTCTAGCAAACAGCCAAGAGAAAGCCTCAGTTTTCCTGCTGTCGTGGAACGTGCTATGCCCGGCAAATTATCTTGTCTTTCTCTGGATCCATTAGAGAGAATGCCTGACGACAACAACCTGGATGCAGTTGTGCCAGGCTCGGATCTCCATGGGCAGCTATCTTTGGCTATGCCGCTGTAGCGCCTACTAATAGCTAGCTAGGAGAACCAGAATAGCAGGCTGACACCATGGGGGATGGGAAATCCATTGCTCATCATTGCTGACCAAGGTTTCTGGTGAGGAAACCATTGCTTACGGCTGCTTACCACCCGCAACCACGGTACTAGCTAGTAAATGAAAACAAACCACTTTTTACCACTATCGGTATCTCTACCGCTATCTTTACCGCTGTCAACTGTTCAACAATGAATGGCACTGGAGTTCTCGACCCCCCAAGGTTCGCACTCAGCTAGCTAGATTATCTTGACAGTGAGGGATGGGCAGCTCCCATGACAGCAAAAGAATTAATTAAGGAGTTACTCGAAACTCTCAGTCGAGGCACAGATCCCAAGCCTGCAGGAGGGTGACCATTGGAGGGGCCTCCTGTCAACAGCAGCATTTCATCGTGTCTATTTAGTATTTGTTTTTCATTGTCTCCTTGCATCGATCTTGATCATGTCTTCTGATAGCAGTGCAACTGGTTTTGGGATTTGCGCTAATACTGGTGCTAGTACTGGTACTGGTACTGGTACTGGTACTGGTACTGGTACTCCTCCCTTCGAAGCTCTTCTGTTGGCTGACGACGGCCTTTCGATCCAAGGCATTCTACCTTTTATAGGCGTTGGGCAGTATACCTTTATTGGATCAGTCAACAGAAAGATGAATCAACTGTACAAAGAGTACTGCAAAATTGAACTCAAGAAAAATCCAAGAAAGGCAAATGATAACCCTGGAGGGTTTCGTCCTACTCGTCGCTCTCCAGAAAGCACTGATACTCTTTACAGCGAAACATTCTGTAACCAGCCACGTGCAGAATACTGGCTCAAGGACAATTCCAGCAATAAGATGCCTCAGCGTAATCATGTTTGCAATGTGATTGCCAGATATGGAAATATTATGGTCATGAAATGGGCACGGCAACAAGGATTCTATTGGAGTGAGCGGACATGTGCTGCAGCGGCTAGAAATGGACATTTTGAATTACTCCAATGGTTAAGAGAGAATGGTTGTCCATGGAGTGAGCGGACATGTGAGTACGCTGCTGACGGTGGCCATTTGGACATTTTAAAGTGGGCTCGCGAAAATGGCTGTGCATGGAATGAGCGGACATGCCGTGCTGCTGCTGACGGTGGACATTTGGAAATTTTAAAGTGGGCTCGTGAAAATGGTTGTCCATGGAATGCAGATACATGCTGGGCTACTGCTAAAAATGGGAATTTGGAAATTTTGAAGTGGGCTCGTGAAAACGGTTGTCCATGGAATTGTCACACCTGTAACTATGCTGCTGAAGGTGGACATTTGGAAATTTTAAAATGGGCTCATGAAAATGGTTGTCCATGGAATGAACACACATGTAAGGCTGCTGCTCAAGGTGGGCATTTGAAATTCTAAAATGGGCTCGTGAAAATGGCTGTCCATGGAATTATTGGACATGCCGTGCTGCTGCTGACGGTGGACATTTGGAAATTTTAAAGTGGGCTCGTGAAAATGGCTGTCCATGGATGAGTATACATGTACACGTGCTGCTCGATATGGACATTTGGAGGTTTTGAAGTGGGCCCGTGAAAATGGTTGTCCATGGAATTATCACACATGTGCCGTTGCTGCTAAATGGAATTTGGAAATTTTAAGTGGGCTCATGAGAATGGTTGTCCATGGAATGCATGGACATGTGCGTCCGCTGCCATGAATGGACATTTGGAAGTGTTGATTTGGTTAAGAGAGCATGGTTGTCCTTGGAGTTATCAGACACGTTCTGGTGCAGCTGGAAATGGGCATTTTGAAGTGGTGGAGTGGGCTCGTGTGAATGGTTGTCCCTGACCCTTGGTCGCATAGGTGTGCATGACAAATGCCAGACGTCCGTGGCTACTCTACTAGCCAGCATCTATACGGTAGATAAATTGTTTCCTTTCTAAAGGTTATTCCTTTGTAATGATACAAGCTCTTCTTTATGCATAGATTGATGAATGGCTGAATTCTGTCTGGGCTTTTGGATCGGGCTGGGCATACAGATACGCATACTAGTAGCTACGGTAGTAGTCCTTGTCTTCTTCCTCCTCTTTCAACAACAGGAGCAGTCCTCTTCGCTTGTCTGTCTTCTAAACTAAAGGGCCACTCAGCAACTCCATTGTCCGAAAGTGGCCTGTGGATAATAATGGGAACGACGCACAAATGCCACAGTGCGCTTGTCATCGGTAGAACCAGCAGCAGACTCCTCGGTAGGTCTGGTGTCAACCTTTTTGACGGGAATGGTCGTTGTTGTTGTGGTGGTGGGTGGCACCGCGGGCTTGGGCTTGGGGGCTCCATATAATAGATGAGAACTGGTACCGAACAGACAGTCTTCGCTGTACGAATACCCAAACAGAGCTCGTTCTCCCACGCTGCTGCCACTGCTGCTGCTGCCGCGAGAAGGAGTGGCCGATACCAACGCAACCAACAAGGCAAACAGAAAGATAAGGCTGCTAAATCGGGTCATCGTGGTCTTGAATAGAGATAGAAGGAAAATGGTGTCTTCTCGAGAATTTATGAGTGCCATCAACGGGTGACAACCAAGTCTCACGCTTTGCAGCTGCATGCAGCAGTCTTCGAAATTCTGCTCGGAAAGAACATGGCTGGATTGCGATGTCATGGAGTCTTGTGAGTATCCTTAGGTCGCCGTACTTGAAGGTGTCACAAACTTGCAAATGGGACCGCGGAAGAAGAACACTCCAAGACATCGTTGCAGGTCACTTTCATTCCACGCCAAGACTCCCAGCGCAAAAGGCTCGCGCCCCTGCGCTCCGACCTCCACAGTCTCACCCAACAGTCCACGCTCCTACAACCACAAGTTGTCGTTGTGGTCACCTCTATTACAGCATTGGCCCAAGGTCCATGAGACAATAATAAAGCACCGTCTACTATCGATAGTAGTCGACAACAAACAAGATGTCGGCACCTAGTGGGAAAAGTGTCCTCAATAGTCGATTCTCTTATCAACATGGGACATATCAACCTCCTCCAACTTATGCGGAGCAACAGAATGATGTGTTAGTAGACACGGCCAAGACACAGTACCAGGCAGAAGGCACGGCCAATGCGGTCCTCACACAGATGACGCAACAGCGGCAACAGCTTACTGATGCACATGATAATGTGTGGCACATGCGGGAGGCCACCGACAGTGCCAAGCGAGAGCTGCAGGAACTGGATAACAAGTACCGTGCCAAAAAGTTGCGGTTGTATATCATGATTGGGTCGATGGGACTGGCAGATCTGATCTTGTTTCTACGGATTGCCCAATGTCGTGGAGGATTCTTCTGTTGAATTGAATACAACTCCATGAACGATGCTGTGATACAGTAGGTACTACATTTATTTTTGATGCCTTGTTATATATGACAGGTCCAATGACCATTGTTCGGGGGTGCAGCTATGCATACAGATCTTGAAGATCGCATCTACAGCCCCCGTAGTAGAAGAAACCCAATATAGAAAATCTTGTCAATGACTTACTCGTACCGGTACAATTTTACAAAACAAATTTGCTAGCTAGGAAGATCTCTCTTGCTTGCAGGATCATCCACGAAGAGCATAAGAATACAGTTCCGGCTCCAGATACATTTTGTTTCGTCATGCTATTATGTACTTGAAACTGGAACAGCCGAGGCACGAAATGGGAGCCCATGGCACAGTGAAAGGCGCGTTGATACAGCTCTATAAATCTATCATGTACGTTTTGTTAGCTATGGAAGTTGCGAGGAGTGAAAGTTGGCTGTCGTCGTGGCGTGCCATTCCAGCAATAGTAAGGAGATTATTAGATTGGATGGAGGTCGAAAAGACATCAGGCGCATTGAGTGGCAACCTTATGTCGAGGTTCGCCCAGCTCCACGTCCATTGGAAGTGACGATGCGGAAGCAGATGCGGATGTGGTGCATGCAGCCACAAAGGACTGTAAGGAGTGGTGTGGAGCTTCAAACGCTCGAATCGACTGCTCCAGCTCCTCGATGCATTCTTCGTCTTTGTCGGATTGACTCTGCAGACTAGCTTCCATGGTTGCGGGTTCGACATTGGCTGCTGGGAACGGTTCTACCTCGTCTTGCGACAGCGACAAATCACCACTCTGTGGCTCATTCTGGAACCGTGAACGTCTGCTTGAGGATTCTTCATCATCGGTTGTGGATTCCTCTTTGGTTGTGGGAGTCTTACTTTTGTAGGCTTGCCGTCTTTGAGCACCGTTTGACACATCCGGAGCATTCTCAACATGCGAGGAGGTGCTTTCTTTTTCGGGAATGGTCGACGGGTCGTTTTCACCCCCAAAGGAATGGGCGTAGCTGGTGGTGCTTTCCCGCGTACTGCGTCCCAGTTCACAGCTCGACTCGCCCCTTTGTTCGGCAGAGTTGTAGACCTGATCCCAATCTCTTTGTCGTTGGGACAGGGACCTGCGTCCACCTGTGGCACGTGCCGGCCGTTTGGAACGAGACGTCGAATCGTCGCTTCCGTCTCCCAATCCACTGATCCGCACTGTAGAACCGGAGAAGCTCGAGCGTCGACTACTACTATTTGTACGTAGGAACTGCGATCCGGTCAATTGAATGTCCAACAGTTGTCGGTAAGTGATTCGAAGTTCGTTGGAGATTGTGTGTTCGACGAGAAAGGCAATGGCGGGTACAGCCATGCCGACAAAGAGCACCTGTATTTGATCTGATTTCCATCCCCACATTTCCGTTTCAGAGCAGTGATGCTCGACCGTGCTGTCGGCAATGTAGGTGACGGATAGCATGCCTAAAAAGTGCAGAAAGCAAACGGCGAGAGCAATCACTCCTGCCGCCGCTTGTCGGTACCAACTCTTCTCAACCTTCCAGTGGAGCGGTCGAAAGAGAATCCAGAATCCCACAAAGCAAACGACCGCGCCAACGACAAAACTCGCCGCCACCAAGCCAATGCTCCATTCCCTTCGGAATGGTCCCCTCATGGCATGCATGCCCACATAGTGCATGGAGAGGGCCCCGCAGGCCGCTAGAACACTTCCGGCCGCAATCCAGTGTAGCTTGTAAAAAAGCGCCACCATGTGAATGTGTGTAGATGCTCGTTGGCGGTTGAGCTTGGATGTGACGTAAGGATCATGTCGGAGCAATTCCTTGAGTTTGGAAACTCGATCGGTCCCCGAGAAGATATCTCTGGATGCCAGTCGGACACCCGTCCATACGCCCGCCACGGACAGCACTACCGATGCTACCGTTTCGATCCAATTGTAGCACATGGTATCGACGTGCTCCAGTACTACTGCTTGCATCCCCACAAAGTGCATAGACCAGATGGTGCAAGAGCCTAGGATAAGGGCCGTGAAGAACTGGGGGTAGCGGGTGATTAAGGCTGTGTATGTATTTGGATAGCAGTAAGAGTGACACATGCATACATGTACAGTGAGTGATTGGGCCTCTCTATTGCCATACCTAGCTAGTTGTGTGCATGTAAAGGGGCTACTTACAAGATGCGTTCCTTCGTTCTCGCTCGGATCTCCAGAGGCCATGTTCTAGGAGACGAATGGAAGAGTAGGCACCAATAAAGGCGGCCACATAGGCTAGAAAGATAAAGACCCCGTGCCATTGTTGGTGGATTATCTCGCCTTCCGCATAGTGAGTGGAGGGTAACGACGTGGCGGCGGGATACCCCAGGGGAACGTCGGTGGTGGCAGCAGCAGCATTGGATAAAGCTCCTCCATTGTAGAGCTCTCCGTCTTCCTGACGGTGGTTGCTAAAGAGATCGTGGTCGTCGTACGGAATGTTGTTGTTGCTCATGGTTGCCATGGTACCTTCGTTTATGTTTGAAGCGGCTTGGTGTGGCTGTGTATGTGGAAAAACTGCCTTGGATGGTTGTTTGCGGTTCTGGGGAAGTTCAGTCGATGGTTGTTTGTGTTTCAGTCGATACTACTGATGATAATACTTGGACTGGCAGTCTGGCAGTATGTGTTGCGCAGTCACAGCTGCAGTCACCAAGTAAGTTGTGTTGAAAGGAAAGCTGTCACTTATCGTAATGAGCCCTGGTCTCAAGTTGGGCTTTACTGAACATGAGCTCTCCCAATTCACCTTGCCGTAGATGATAAGTTCTCGTATTCTCCAATCCGGTCATTGTATTTTCAAATGAATAGAGCTCCTTGCACCAGAACTCACCAGACAAGCCAGAGTTTACTCTATTTATTATACTCCCTTCTCCTTTTCCTTCTAACAAGACCAAAAAGAAGACCCTTCAACCATTCAGGTGTTCTTTCAAAACGGCAGGGAACCGGTACGCTTTTGGTACCGCTGCCGCACGTGTACGGACTCAACTCGACTCACTCGACTCCACAACACACACGACGAGCAAAGATCCGCCAACCACCATCGTGCGGTAGCGGTACACTACGTCTATTTCCTTCCTCTAGCTAGCTAGAGCTATTGTATTGAAACCTCGGTTTCTACGTGTAGCTACGGTAGGTGGCTCACGAGAGGAAGATCAAGACTTTGAGAATGCAGCTTTTGGTAGGGGAGGCAATCATGCATCTACAGTCAGCTCAGGTGCCTGAAACAGCCTTTTAAGAGTTGCCTGTGATTTGCGTTGAAGAAACATACATGTCATAGCAGACAGTGGCCAAAGATGTCCAGCATTGTCAGTGATTCGAATCCCTCGGAATGCGAAGGGCTCTACTAGCTATAGTTTCATTGAATACAGACACACATCTTCCATCATACCGGTATTCTTGACACTCCCGGCCACCCATACGAATGGCTTTTTGCTTGTCCTGATCATCCGCCCATTGCTGGGCCACTGCAGCCACCACTGCATTCCATACACTCCTATCGTCAAATGTACGTACGGACCAGTTCACATTCCCTGAAACGGCGAAGGCTACTATCGCTACGAAGTCGAAATGCGAGAATACTTGGTTCGTTTCTGAGAACCCAGGCTACCGGTACTGTCCCGGTACAGCAAGGGTTCATCGATGGTTTTGACGGCGGTCACCTAGCGTCAGCCAGTGTGTGCCAAGATTTGTTCCAAAGAAAAGAAGCACAGAAGGGATGTCATTGAGCTTGAATAATAGCTCTGAAGTATGGTGGCTACAAGCAACATTGCTGGTTTCAATGTATATCGTTGCTCTTGCTGGTTCAGGTTGTCTCAACTAGTTTCGTTCATGATAATGTCAACACCTGGCCTTTGTGGGATTACCATGGTACCGGTACCAACCCAAGCCGAAGCAATCAGGCCCGGCATTGCTAGTAGATCAGCGCTTCCAAGACTCCCATGGTCTGATCACCTTGATTTCAGATCGTTGACTTCAAAAACGAACGTGTTCTGGACGGTAAACTGCTTAGCTACTCGTACAAGTACATTAGGGTAGGTCAACCCGCTGAACTGCACGTTCTGACCGATCAAGAAAGAGCTCGCATCCAATAGCATTGTATGGTGCAATGGCGAGGGCGCCAGCTAGTTCGCTGCGTCTAGGCTCGTCCGAGTTGAAGACGTTGAATCCTCGAGCATGTACCGGTAGCTAAAGCTACGCAGCTGGTTCTCCTTTATGTTGCTGTATGAGTGAGCCTTCGTGGCGGTGCACACCGTGTCTCGCCTCGGAGGAGGCTACATCGGTCTCACTCGTCTCTCGTACATGTACAGTACCAAGAACCACGTTCTTGCTTCGCAGCTGAGGTTTGTTGAAGGCGCCTGGATTACCCATCTCATAGACCTCGAATGTCAATGCGAGTCCATGTCCTTCAGCTCGCACCCGGCCAAGGTCCTCGGCTTATTGACACATGTTGATGGCTGCACGGACAATCAAGCTGCCTGTGGAGTCCATTCTCGCATGAAGGTTGGCCCCATGACCACCTTTTTCTGGTGCCTCTGTGATTTTTGAGATCGGTAGGACTCTGACCCCAGACTTGCGCCAGAGCTGACGCCGTCGGCACCAGAGTCTAGCCGTACGATGGTCATTCTGCCTCGTCTACTAGAGACCGATTCCAAGTCACAGCCACCACCCTCTTCTTGCATAGTGGCGAGCCAATGAGCCAAGTCTTTCTTGTTGCGTTCGTCTTGCTGGGCGTCACCGTATTGAGCGTTTTGTCTGTAGACTTTGGGAAGAAATATGGGTAGGAGGAAGGACAGACAGGTAATGACAATCACACTCGAAGTGGCCATAAAGTCTGCGGACGGGTTGTCGCGTGCCGCTATAAGAAATGGTCCAAAAACAATGGCAGTTTCCAACAAACTGGCTGCAGACCAACCCAGCGAACTCGTATCGACGTAGTATGTAGACTTGTGCCTGACTTTGTAGCACTTGTGGCAGGTGAAAAGGACAATGAGTACGTCAGCCGCCATGATCAAGGCCGAAAACAACCAGGAGAGCTCTTGGTGGGTGGACCGGCAAGCCCCATACGATTCAATGTTGCGACCAAACATGTCATAGTTGTTCACTGAGATGCGCTCATACTCGATGGGAGCAAGGATTGTCCAGGCAGTGAGCATGGTTGCATTCCAAATGATGAGTATGGCAAAGGGTTTGGCCACATCCAGAGGTTCCACCGTGACTCGTCGAAACGTCGTGGCTCCGTTCATGATTTGCTCCTAACAGTGTCGAGGACAGCAGAAAGCGTGAGGAGGATGGGTCAAGGAAGCGTATAGTATTCGACCTAGCTAGCTAGTGCACTGTGCTTACCAGCCTCCAGGTTTTACTCAAGATTGCAGCGATGGCAGTGGCAAAACCCAGAAAGAAGAGCCATGGAACACTCATGCAGGCCATGTTCAACCGAGGTGAAGATTCCTCTCCTTGAAAGCTCAGTGGGACAATGGCTAGAGCCATGACAATGGTCCCACTGCAGAGCTTTTGGTGAACGAAAGCAATTCGTGTGAGCATGGTTGCAGGTATGGCATCATTCAATCAATGGCTCAATCAGCCTGCACACCTTTCTTACCTGCAAGAGGAAGATTGGCTGGGAGCAAGTCACCACGAACTTGTTTCGATTGCGCACAGTCCATGCAAAGAATACCGTGGAGAGAAGGATCACGATTGCTCCCAAGACAAGACCAAGAATCTGTAGACCGAGTGGTATCAGATTGTAGTTGTGGTTTGTCATGGTGGGAAATACCTGTGGAGCAATTGTGGAGTTGCTGCTGTAGACAAATAATGATGATTGCTGCGTAACTTGGTCTCCTGTAATGGTGGCCACGAGATGTGACTCGTATTGAAACTGTGCGGCTGTAGACCGCTTCTCGGAGAGCAGAATATTGGTGACGTGAATCATGGTAGAGTTGGAGGATCGTGTTCCTGTCGTGGGGTCAAAGCTGACAAGTCCCGAAACTCCTTGAAACTCTAGTTGGAGCAGCGATTCATGCAATTGTTGGCCGGTAAAGTTTCCGGGAGTTTGGCACGCTGCAAGACCGAGAGCAATGACGGCATCGTATGTGTAATACTGGAACTGTTGCAGTAGATTTGTGGTTCCAAAGGTATAGTTTTGGAACATTGCCTGCGCATGCGATGATGACTCATCATTGGTATTGCCGGTCTTGATCCTGGAAATCATGGATTGTTGGAGTGGTTTGGAGTTTGCAAATTGATGGAGTGCCACGTTGAAGGCGGTATGTTGGTCGAGATGTAGATGAACGACTCCCACTCCATGAAGTGCCTTGGCCAAGTCTGGATCATTGGTGGGAACGGCAAATTGTCGATGAGCCATGTCGGAAAATCCGAGCAAGAACCATGCATAGTCGGGATGCCCCATTACATCTTGTCGGTAGGCTATGCGAGCTACATCCTTGTAGTCTGTATCCTCCAATACGGCCACGACGTATCGTACGTCGGATGCTTTGAGCTTGCGCAGCGTCTCGAGCGTCTTGTGTCGTTGCATGGCAAAGCGCAGTACCTTGATGTCATGTTGCTTGGCCATTTCTTGCAGATCCGCATTGAATTCAATGCCAAATGTATCATCGACATAGTACAGATTAGCCACTCTTGTAATGTTCTGTCTTTTGAGGTAGGCCGTCATTGCTTGTGCCTGAACATGACTGTTTGGGACAGTTCTTGAAAACAATGGAGCTCCGTTGAGAGCGGCACTGTTTGCTTCTCCACTGATTTGCGCCACTCCCATGCCCCCCGCCAGCAAGGCATTGGCAGTTTCTGTCACGGAGGAAAACAAGGGTCCCACCACGGCAAAGGGGTGTTGCTGATCTTGATGATATCTACGATGCAGCAATGTAGCTGCCAATGCTTGTCTTACGGCTTGGGCTCGGGAGAACTGTGGGTCTCTAATCTCCAGCGTCCAGTGAAAGTTGCAGCCTTGCAGCAAGGATGGCAGGTGTGGCAGAATGTGACCTCGTCTCTCCTCCAAGTCCTTCCATGCCAAGAAAGCACTGACGGTAATGTCCATGAACTTGGTGTCAATGTAACGCTCATCTCTACTGCTTCTCTGTTGTTGGGTGAATCCCATCAGGGACAGCAAGTGGCCTTGGCGTCGTACTACTTGTCCATCTTGATCCACCAAAGTCTTGATGTACGTGGGAGCGCCGTCTTCGTGCCCATTCGTCGTGTTCATATCCATCTTCTGATGTTATGAGCCATACGGTCCGGGCGCAATTACTGGCTGGTCGATCGAAATATACTAGTAAGATAAGTGTCTGCGAACATCAAACCAGTTTCCGTTCGGTGGCTAGCTTCTTTCTAGCTAGCTTTCTTTAGATTCTTGAGGAGGTTACCGCTATGTCAGTTCGTGTGGGCTTGCTTCTTTCCTCATTCTTCGTGCTTGCCATCTACAGTGACAATAAGAGACAGTGTGCGTACTGGTACCGTACGTCCATCCTCCATGTCATGAGAAGCAGATTGAGCGCCACAGCCAGCTAGCTCTTGCTTGGAACATGCAACGTGGTTGCAACATGGCTGCTCCGACACCAAACTCGATCTGATTGCGGCGTCTCTTGGAGTATTCAGTCTCCGGAGTGTCATGGAGCGGAGGTCGTCGACGACGATTGACCATGGTTTTGATTTGTCAATTTCTCAGCCAAACTAAAATTTGCGCTATCTACAATGTAATGGGGGCTACGATGTAGAGGGGGGCAAAAGTTCCGGTTACCCCCGTAACTATTCACTGCATGCCACCTGCCTGTATACGCTACAACAACATCTATCTATGGGGAATACTTTGCTAGCTTGCTGTAATATAGCTAAGGCTTATTGAATGACTAGCTAGGTCAAACTGTATGGGCACTATTTGCTATGCCAAATCTGGGTTGCCCATAGAGACGTCCAGGTTGATCGCATTGATCAGCTGCCTGGAAATCACTGGGAGAACTTTCTGCAAAGCCCTCTCACCTGAGTTCTTGCCACATCGCTGCTTGAACTTGTTGTCTTTTAAGGGATCAACATAGACAATCTTGCCCATTTTTATGATTGGGCATGCTTCTTCGCTTGGATCGTACATTGAGAACTTCAATCCCATCCTCACAAATCCCAAATCATTCTTCCAGCATCTGTCCCAACGGCTTCCAGTAGAGGCATCTGTGATGACAATATCCATGACAAGCTTGGCATTACTTTCAGACTTGGCAAAGGATGTAGAGTTGAAGCAGTGCCCTTTCAAGTCTTGGGCAATCTTGGCTGCCAATTCTTCATCGTCACCCCGTTCATGGCCTGCCTTGCTGAGTGTTACAGTGACTTTCACAAAGATATCACTCGCCTTGAGCCCCTTTGGCATCTCTCGGCGAAGGCTGGAGGAGACCTGGGGTATTGACAGGTTGATGCTGTCATCTAGGCCAAGTGCCCGGAGTTTTTTGTCTTGATCAATTTCAAACCTTCGGTAGGCAACTTTGTTGGTCATGTGAGTAAGGCCGATAGTAGTAACTGCTGCGCTCATTGTTGTTGTTTGGTACTTTTTGGTTTTTGCTTGTGTTGTGTTGTGTTGTGTTGTGTTGTGTTGGGGTTTTGTTTATGAAAGGAGTTTTGTGCGATGACAATCGTAATACTGATTGGATGGATTGAATCATTCATTCGGGCTTGGTTGACTCCTGGGGGACTTGAAACGTGTCTCAAGCATGAAAGATATTATGCTGGATGGCCCCATGAGCGCTGGAAAACAATGAGCTCCTTCCACCCACGATGTATTGAGATACAGTAGTTTCGATATTCAAGTATGTATTTAGATTGTAACTTCCTTCCCATTCTTATCCGTCGGTAGGCCACAATCTTCTAGATTCGATTCACGCCAACACTTTCGACGTGTACGTCGTATCGATTTCCAACTCGCTCACCAGCTGTCGGGAAACAACGGGAAGGACCGACAATAAAGATTTCTCCCCCGATTCCCTGCCACGCATCTGTTTGAACCTGGACTCTTTCAGCGGACTGATATATGCAACTTTTCCATGCTTAAGGATGGTATCGTTTGGTCCGGTTTGATCACAAACCGAAAAATCCAACCCCAAGCGAACAAAACCAACCTCGCCCTTCCAACTTCGACTCCAACGACTCCCAGTTGAAGCCGCAGTAACCTGTATATCAAACACCACCTTGGCTGTATCTTTCCTGCAGTTGAACGTAGTGGAGCTGTATATGAGATCCTCCAGGCTTTCAGCAATTTTGTGAGCCAGCAAGAAGTCGTCTCCCCTCTCTTTACTTTCTCGGGAAAACTGGTCAGTAACCCGCACATGGATGTCTTCTGCCTTCAACTCTCTGGGCAGGGGACGCTGAATAGTGGAAGTCACTGTTGGGGTAGCAAACTTGGTACTAGAGGAGCGCCGGACTTTCGACGATCCATGTCCGTCAGCATGCTGAAGATCGTTGTGCTTGTTGACGAGATTCGCCAGAACTCCGATAGCTACCATGGTGCTAGATTCTTCTGTGGGATATGTTTGCTTTACATCTATGACGTGAGTGTGCTTTCGATGAGGGTAAATAGTTGCACAGTGCGGAGAAAAGAACAAACATGGATCTTTTGCTGATCGTTTTTGGCGATCTTTTCAGTCCCAGAACCGCACCAAAAAAGATCTTTGGGCGCACCTCTACTCTGGGCAAGGATGGAATAGAAAACATTTTCCAATCGCGGGGGAACGATGCCCACAACGGTGCATTGGCGCAGGATCCAGCCAGCATCTACCGTAGGAAGTTAGCAGTGTCACAAGCCAGAAAGCAAAGGAACCAAAAGGTAACCGCGATCGAATGTGAACCTAAGCAAATGGAACGATTGTGTTGTCGGTATCATTTTGACCATTCAGCCAAAAGTGCTCCGCAATGACGTAAGTGCAAAGTTTATATTGCTACTAACCATCTCATCGTGCATTGAGTCCGAGGACTCGAAAGCAACCCTCCATCGGCCGCGCCTTTGTTTCCTCACATTGTGTCTGAGCAGCTACGTACTGTACTGGCTATAGCTACTAGCTAGCCAAGAGGTGGAAAATTGTGGCTGGGGGGTGATTATATTGCCGGCAAGTAGTAAGGCGACAATCTCATCATTGCTTGTTTCTATTGTTTGGTAGACTTGAGGCTGGCCGCTCGGTAGATACTGTACCTATTGTCTTTCCACGTTTCAATGCTACCAATGACTGAATCACCATGAATGCTGCAACTGCAAAGCCAGCAAGTGAACAAGTAACCAAGTAAGGTCTATGGGCCTGGCTGAACTTGGTAGCAATGAGTGTGCTTCCCCTCTAGTAGTAGCTAGCTAGTAGAGCTATTCACTTAAACCATTGTAGGTGACCCAAACAGATCGATCCCCGCCCTCGCATTCGATCACGTGCAGCTGTGTTGGGTCTGAAAAACCATTGCTCCCTTCGTACGCGAGGACCTGTGCAACAGTCAAAACTTGCAAACTCGTAAACACCATGCGGACGGACAAAGCTGGTGCTTCTTTTCCCCGTTTGTGCACCCATGCAAGAAATCATGTCGTTTCCACCAATTTTCGATTGCTCCGTTTCTTCTCGAAACCACTCTTTGCAGTATTATGATTCAATCTTTCATGATTGCTGTCTTGTTGTTGTTGTGGTTTCGTTTCGCGGCCATCATTGTGCGGATTTCTTCGTCGGCGTTGCATCCTCTGTGCCGCCAGCGCCGCCGCGTCTTTACTGACGGATCGTACCACTGCCAAGCGTCGTGCCCGGGTTTCTTGATTGTTGTTTTGTTCGTCGTCGTGCGGCACAAATCTTTTACGGGCTCGCATTCTAGCTCGCGCCGCTGCTTCGGCCGCTGCTGCTTTGCTGGCCGTTCGCAAGGTGCCCTGCTGATTCCGTCGTTCTCGTGTCCGCGCCGCCGCGGCGGCTCGACGACGTTCTCGATCGTGGTCGCCGTCGGGATCATCGTCGTCATTGCCATTGGGCTCTTGTTTGCGGCGACGTCGTCGCGTGGCAACGTTGTCTCGGTAATCATCTTTGTCCTGCTGATCGTCGTCATTGGTGGGTGTTTCTGGAGTGATTTCCTCCTCCTCTTGCTCTGGTTGTGCATTGTCGTCTGTTGGTTCGGTGGTGTGTTGCTGTTCTTTGGACTTGGACAAGACCGGTACCATCTGTTTTAGGTTTTTGGTAGTCATGTTGACCAGATTTTTGGTGGGTTGGACAACCACTGCCATGCCAATGTTGTTTAGGTTTTTGGGATTCACCTTTCCCAGGGTATTCTTAAAGACCCCCTTCATACCTGTAGTGTTGTCTTTTTCGTGGTCTTGTTCTGCTAGATTCTGATGATGAAGAGACCAGGATTCTTCCTCTTCTAGATACTGAATGGGTCTGCCACGACGATTGTTGCAAATGTGGTCATCTGTAGTGCTGTTTTTGTTGTTGGTCTGATTGGGATCATCTCCGCGCGAAGGAGGGGACAGCAATTTGGTGGGTTTCACATTCCAATCCTCATTTTCCATGTCAGGTTCTTCTGCTGAACTAGATGGTTCATTGTCATTGTCAGTGAAATTTTCTTGGTCTTGAGGTTGCTGTGGACAAGTATTTCTTGGAGATCTTTTGGGTGAATGGCTCTTGGGTCTGCTGTTGTTTCCAGGTCTTGGTTGCTTGGGTCTGGATGTTCCGGTAGTTCCGGTAGGCCTTGTGCTGTTGTGATCAGATCTTTTGCCAGGCATTGGACTGTTGCTTCTGGGCTTTCTTCCTCGTCTTCCCTTGTTATTACATGAAGTTGCTCCTGTTCCATTCTCAGCTACTCTTTGCCTTCCACCCTGTCTTGTAGAATTAGAATCAATGTTGGTCTCCACGGATGTTCCAAAATGGGTACCGGTATCGGTAGCAGCACCACCGGTACCGGCAGCCAGGGGTATCTCGCTGGGATTTCCACTCATGGCACGAAGCTTATTGCAGATGACTTTCTTGACCAAACAAAATAGACGATAGAGGAGGAAGAATAAATAACTATAAAGATGTTTTATTGGCAAAGGTACATGGGACCTTCCCCTTTTGAGAGCCCCTTTGCTCTTGCTCTTTCCGTCTGTGACTCTGGTGGTCGGCGGTCAGTTTTTATTCTTGCTTGGTTGAAGTTGTGTGGCGCTGTTCGAGGTAAAGGGGTCACTAATAAAAGCCAGCGAGCTGTAAAATTGTATTCAGACTACATAACAAGAACCAACTCAAAGCTAGATGCTCCTTACATGGACGTAATAGGCTGAATTCTAGACGTATACTAGCTAGCGAGTTAGATCTCGGTCTTTAGAAGCATCCAGCCAACGCAACTCGACAAGAGGATACAGTACAGAAAACGTCATTCTGATTACTTGTGTTACCATGCAAAAGTCTTCAAATCAGGACAAGCAGGCTCATAGTACCAATCACAATCATGAGGGCAAGCCATTCCAATGCCCGGTTTCCAGTACTGGTGGTGGTACCGGTACTGGTATTGGTGCTGGTACCGGTGCTGGTACCAGTACTGACACCAAGACTGGTATCGGTACTCTCCACACCACACCCATTCTTCTCTTCTCCTGCATTGACAACGGTGGAAAAATAATTGACATCTGCCTGTGTCATGGGTTCCAGTTGAGCCGTATCAAAGGGCAAAAGTATGCCCGTGGTTAAATTTCGCCTGGGAATAACAACAGCCGTGAATCCATTGAGTACCCTGGCTCCTTCATAATGCTGGATGCCCCTGTCACAGGACGCAGTAAAATTGGAATTTTCCAAGGACTGCAACGAGTTTCCATCGGCGTCGGTACCTGTCCAAACCACCGACACTCCAACGTCGCACGGCGATGGCGACAAACGATCCTTATTGAGCTCATACGATGCACACATGCTCTTACTGCTTGGAATGGACGAAGTAGGAGCCGCCGTAGTATCAGGCGCCGGTGAGGTGTCTCCCAAACTGGACGGAATGTCGGGAAGCTCTGAATACGTGCCATCGTCTTGCACGGGACAAGCCCCACTGGAAGAAGATTGTAATAGGTTGCCATCAAAGTCATACAGGTTGTCTTGGCACTGACCCTCATTTCCAGAGCAAAAAAGACAGTCATTGGCCCAGGATATCTGTTCTACTACCCCTTGGTTGACCTTGATAATTGCACTCAGGTAGGGAAAGAGCAGGCTCTTGTTGTTGTCAAACCACAATCTCTGATCTGATAATGCCTTTTGGGATGCTACGTGAATTGTCACATTATTGTTTCCATTGTAGATTCGGGTGGCCAATGTGAGGAGTAGATCTTGGTAGGCTGTTTTAAAAATGAAGAAAGAAAGAACAAATGAAATCTCAACAATCATGTTCTGTAGGATACCACACAGGTGAAAAAATGAATAAGTATACTTACAACTGGGAACATGCAATCGTGAATATTGGTCTGCCTGGGGCTGAAAGGGAAGACGAATGTAATGCACAGGCGGTATTCCCGCATTCCAATTGGTACTGGACCCCAAGACAACACAAATGGTTGTTTTTTGGCCAATTCGAACCAAACTGTCAGGATCATTGGGATCAACACATCCTGACCATTCCAAATCTTGAGGATCAGCGGTTTCAGGGGAAAAGTGGGAACCTGGCGCTACTGTCATGGTGCCAGCAGGGGGCACCGTTTGCAATTGTAATGGATTTTGGGTTTGGGCTCTGGCAAGAAGCACAGCCGCAAACAAAACTAAAAGTCGGACTGAGAGGTGAGGCATCATCATCATCATTGTTGAGAATATATGAACTCGAATGGCCCAATATGATAGGAGTTGTGCTGGTTGTGTTGCTCTTGCAGCGTTTGCTCCTTGCTTCATGCACGGCTGCATGGGGATCGCGTATTGATCGCGGCTGGATCCTACTTCAGGGTTCGGTCAGGCTTCTCTCATAATGGCAATAATATTGTGGCAGTGAAGCCGACGAGCTGTAAATACATGATCATTTTTCGGTTTCCGGAGATTCCAGGCGAAATTTGTTCTCAGTTTTCTTAAAAGTTAGATCTCTGTCTGAGCATCCAGCTTTGCAACATGCTGTTCTAAGCTTCAAGGTCCGTGGCAACCATCGCAAATGGATATGAGGAAACAGATAAGGCCATTCTAATTACTCACATTACAGCTGATTGATACTATGCTAAAGTCACAAGCAGGCTCATAGTACCAATCGCAAACATGAGGGCAAACCATTCCAATAACCGGTTTCCAGTGCTGGTGTTAATACTGACACCAAGACTGGTATCGGTACTCTCCACACCACACCCATTCTTCTCTTCTCCTGCATTGACAACGGTGGAAAAATAATTGACATCAGGCTGTGTCATGGGTTCCAGTTGGACCGTAGAAAAGGGCAAAAGTAGTCCGGTGGTTAAATTTCGCCAAGGAATAACAACAGCCGTGAATCCATTGAGTACCCTGGCTCCTTCATACTGCTGGATGCCCCTGTCACAGGACGCAGTAAACTTGGAATTTTCCAAGGACTGCAATGAGTTTCCATCGGCGTCCGTACCTGTCCAAACCACCGACACTCCAATGTCACACGGTGACGACAACGTGGGATCACTACTAGTAGTGAGCTCATACGCTGAACACAACCACTTGTTGCTGGGAATGGACGTAGTAGTAGTAGCAGCATCAGGAGCGACTGTAGTTGCGCCTCCCAAACCCGATGGAAGGTCGGGAAGCGTGTCATCGTCTTGCACGGGACAAGCCCCACTGGAAGAAGATTGTAATAGGTTGCCATGTTGCCATCAAAGTCATACAGGTTGTCTTGGCACTGACCCTCATTTCCAGAGCAAAAAAGACAGTCATTGGCCCAGGATATCTGTTCTACTACCCTCGGTTGACCTTGATAATTGAACTTGTCAAACCACAATCTCTGATCTGATTATGTCTTTTGGGAGGCTACGTGAATTGTCACATTATTGTTTCCGGTGTAGATTTGGGATGCCACGTTGGCAAGTATGTCTTTGTAAGCTGTTATTAAAATTGAGAAAGAAAAGAAAGAACAGATGAGATCTCATCCATCAGTTTCCGTAGGATACATACCGGTGCTGCTAAATCATTTGATACTGTTGGTCTACTTACAACTGGGAACATGCAATCGCGAGTACTGATCTGCCTGGGGCTGAAAGGACAGACGAAGGCAAATGGTTGTTTTTTGGCCAATTCGAACCAAACTGCCAGGATCGTTCGGGTCAACACATCCTGACCATTCCAAATCTTGAGGAGCAGCGGTTTCACGGGAGACGGAGGAAGCTGGCGCTACTGTCACGGTGCCAGCAGGGGGCACCGTTTGTGTTTGTAGTGATTTTGGGTTTGGGCTTTGGCAAGAAGCACAGCCACAAACGAAACTAAAAGTCGGACTGAAAGGTGAGGCATCATCGTCATTGTTGTTCAGATTATACGAACAGTTATTATGGCTGTGATGTTTGTTATCTTGCAGCGTTTGTGGTCCTTGCTGCATGGAGATCAGATCGAGCAACTTTCTTCGGGGCTTCAGGCTGCTCGTCGGACATGTAATGGCAATAATATTGTGGTAATGTAAGCTGACGAGCTGTAAATACATGCGTACTAGCCCTTGCAAAGCTGATCTTTGACCCCTTCCGGCTTCCAGCATCTAGCTAGCAGGCGAAAGTAGTGGGAGCGTCCAAAGTTATGGCATCTTCATTGGACATGCAATGCCTGTCCCCATATATATTACAACTGTATTACAAAGCCCTTGCAATCAAATAACGACACCCTCCTGGACATTGGAAAGCCATTGCCATTGCCAGTAAGCTGCAGCCATTGCGTTCATAGGCACCAGCCAGTCACAATGTCGATGGTTACGGGTCTTGCTTGCCCTGGTTGGATACAGTAGCTATTATGATAGAAAAGTGACCGATTGATTGAACAACTCCAGTAGACCTACATACATGTAATAAATGGGTGTATCCAACCATGCCCTCTAACTACATGTACTGTACGTCCAGAGCTGCGCTGCTCCTACGTCCAGCAAATCCATGAGAAGCTTCCAACTTCCATGCAGGGAAACGAGAAGCAGCCAATAGATTTTGGCTTGCAGCCAGTTGAACACTGTTACACTGTTGAACCCTGGAATCTGAACCTTGGCCGTGTTGGCAGCCGGAGTCCTTGAGAATAGAGGTCCCAGTGTCCCAGTATCGAGACGAAATGATGCACCTGATACTTATTGTAGGTGTATTGGCTGACCGGTTCCTTTGAGCTTAGACATGCATTGACTCGACTCTAGGATGAGTATCTACATGTACTTCTTACTCTACTTACTTGACGCAGATCTCTTGCTTGCGAAATGCAAAAGGGAGCTTCTAAGAGAGAAGTTGCCTTCTTGTAGAGCTCCATAATCCTATAGTCCCACCCCACAATGGTTGTGGACAAACCTTAGCTCGATCACCAGTCCACCGGTCCCACAAGGGCGCCAAGAGCATGAAGAAACAATCAAGAGATCTCAGCCTCCCGCAAATATGCGTATTGTCTACCACTACTGGTACTACTTTCTAAAGTACCGGTACGCAATGCATGATGAGCTCCACATGTACCTACCTCAGAACACTCGTACCGGTTTCACTAGTACACGGTTCCCGTAGAGTGAAAGCACCTTCTTCTGTGTTCCAATGTTCACTGCTCCTAGAGCAATTAGAGAAGACATTAATGACGACGAGGACTGCACAAAGACAGCTAACGAAGCGGCTAATGAAGACTCCTTGCAGGATGGGTCACACTTGTATCAGGCATATTGTATTTAGAGGGCAGCTTCCTCAATGGCCTCATTGTAAAACAACCAAACACTCACTTTTTGTTCAAGTTCCCGTGCAGGATTGATGCTGCCAAAGATCAATGCACAGTGGTATGGACCATGTGAACCCTGCTTAGCTCATTAGTCCACTGAGGTCTCTGTGTCGAAGGTAGAGACGGCCTAAATTGCTTGGCAACTCGCTTGCTCATTCTTTCTGTCTTTCACAAAACCAAACATCACCTTTTTAGTTCCTCCTCAAAATTTTGCAAACTAGAAAAATGGGTTTCCTAGATTCTTTTCTGAGCCGCTCCAGAGGCACGGCACGAAACACTAGCAACACTAACAACACAAACACCAAGAACCACGGCAACAATGACAGCAGCAACCGAACCCAGAACGATGAAGTCCACTTTCGAGTGATCAACGAACTAGATCGTCCCATTAGCATTCAAATCTTTAACGAAGATCCCGACGAGATTCAACACGTCCGCGATGAAGAGAGTACGTTTCAAGATTCCTTTTGCGGCAGCGACGTCTTTAACGGACACGAACCATTGTCGGTCGAGAGCGACATTCAACCCGGTCAAGTGTGGACGTATCAACGAACGTGCAGTTGTCCCGACTGTCATGTGGGGACCATCAAGGTCGATTCGCACGAAAAGTCGTTTTACGTGGATGCCGTCAAGTGCGGTCGTCGTTCCAGTTGTCTGGAGGAGGATGCCAGCAAAAGCAGTACCAGAAGCAGCAGTTGTAGTATGGACGACAGTCAAGACTTGATTGTCACGACGGACGACATGGACGACGATCATTCCACCAGCAGTCGCAGTTTCACGTTGGCGGAAGAAGCCGTTATGGAAGTCGAAGTCATTGATGCCGAACGAACCGTCGATGGAACTGTCGTCGTCAATCTCATTCTCAAGAATGTTCCTTCTACCGAACAACAAGGGTCCGAGCGGAATCGAATGCGGCTCAGTCAAGGAACACTCGAAGCCAGTTTGGTCATGTTGGAATGCAACTTTCGATTCAATGGGGCCAATCAGATTGACGATTCTAGTTTTGGGGACTTTACTTCTTCCAGAAGACGAAGCCCCGCATCGACACGACTCTCCTCGTCATTACTGTCAGCCACGCGGGATCCTCGGTCGTCGTACATGGGGAATACGGGTGGTGGTGGGGGAGCCATGAAACAGTCCATTATGGGAATGTACTCCTAAGTGCATTGGAACAGAAGTTATGCTCAACACGCAGACATACCAAAAGATCATCTGCAAACTCGTTGGGACAGCTTCTCTCTCTTGGAACACTACACATGTAACACTAGATACAAACGTTTTGTATGCCAACCACATTCTCTATCATCTATCTTCTAGCTAGCATAGCTTCACTAATACAGCATGCAACACCTTAGCACGAAACGAACGAGAGCACATGACCTGACTGTACTGTAGCCAGTGAGACGGGGGCCAAACCAATGGCTGATCGAGTGAGCAGGCCAACTGAAGGTTCATGAAGCAGGAAGGAAAGGAGGAGGACACAGAGGAGCCTATTAATAGTACAGTACAGCACAGCGAAGGACGTTGGAGGAATGACTGGACAAGTATTCCCTTGATCTACGTTGCTGTAAGTCACACGGATCAACACAACTCGCTTGCTTCTGGGAACCACGTCTTCCTACCGTACGACAACACCCCTAAAGAAAACGCAGAAGCAAACCGAGGTGATTTCTCAAATGATTGGCCCAACTGCGCCTACCCAGAGGTCCTCACCACTGGCGCTCTATCTATAACTGCTGCAGCTATTCGCAAAAGGCAGCGGTCACGCCACGAGAACTGGTGATTCGAAGCTTATAGTTTGTTGCAACTATTACGATCTAGCTAGCTCGTTTAGCTAGACGAGCAGCACGCGGGCAAGAAAGGCAACATCAAACCAAAAGAAGCTGTCGTGATTATGGCACTATACTTCTATTTGATTCCGTCCCCAGCCACCATTACCTGGCTTGGATGGCAGATTGTTGTTATTGGACGCATGACTCCATTTGGCAGGATTCTCACGCAAGAGACCATACAAAAGGTTGAATTTATCCTCTGCTGTCGCCTCGGCGGTCACATGGTCTTCGTTGCCGCATCTCAGTAGTTGAATGTCTTGGACAGTTTCTAATAGCTCGACGAATTCCACTTGTGTCGATTCTGGATCCAGTGCTTGCTTGCGTCCCAGCCAATTGAGAGAGGTGTAAAAGGGCAGCAAATGTTCACTGGGATGGAGTTTGTTGCAGAGATACCCCTGCATTTTGTCAGCATTGCAGCCATCATTAAATGTGACGCGATTGAGGCTAATATTGGACTTGTCCAGGATCTCCACAAACATCTCTTGGTACCTTTCGAATTTGTTGTGTTGGACATTCTCTTGCGAGTACATGAAGACTTGAACGATGTGATCGTGCTCTAATGTGCGGATGATTGCATCCAGTCCCTTTTCCGTTGTGTCGGTTGTTGCTCGAAGACTCAAGACAGTCAATGAAGAATTGCGGGAGAGGAAACTACTCACTGTTGGTGCCAAATCAGCCACATCACCATCGACTCGTAGACTCACTCCCTTTAGATATGGCATCTTACACAAGCCAGTTGTCACAAAGTCCACCGCCAACGGATTGCTTGGAACAAAGTGCGAAAGCACATTTTGAACGGTGCACTGTGACAGTAGCTCTTGGAACAAGGGTGTGGTGAACCATGTTGCCTCGCCCCCTTGATGCTGTTGTTCTTCTTGTGAGACTTTTGGGAACGTGAAACAGAACGTCTGTAGGCTCTGGTTGGAAAGTGCACGGTGGATAAAAGCCAAGCATGCATCCAGTTCCCATTCCATACAACGACTGATAATGGTGTGGGTCTTCTGGCTGTCCAGTACTGGTGCCATACCCATCAATGCCTCCATGTCCAATGCCGTTCGTTTTGCAGTGAAGTTTTCATCAACCCAAGGACAGTCACCTGGCAATTCAAATAGATTGTCACATAGATCAAAATCATTTGTCTTTAGTTCAAACACTTTAAAGAGGGCTTGGGTCAATTCTTGGCTGTATTTCCAGTTGAGAATTAAGAGCAAAGAACCGGGAATTAGCGTGTAAGGGCCGGGTGCTGGCCCCAATACAGATGGGTTGAGTTCCGCCAGGGTAATGATTTCAACCTCCGTGGGTCTATCGGGTCCTGGTCCTTGAACCACAGCCATCTCAAAAGCATCCACATCCACTAGCTCGGGGCATTTTTCGGCAAGAAAACCAACCACTCCTGGTTTGGCTCCGCATTTGAGCACATTGTGGAAGAGCTCTTTGGTGAGTGCTTCTGGATAGAATTCGTAGAAAGTTTTGACCGTTTCCAAATCCGCCTTGGCCATCAACACCATCTCCAATGCTTGATGCTTGGACACAGCCCAGTTGCTGGTGGGCACTGGGTTGTTGAGAGCAGCAAAGAGGGCTGAAGGGTCCATGGTGACGAAAATAGATGGACGAAAAAAGTGCTGAGATTGAGGGGCTTGAGGAGGATGAGTAAGATTACGAGGATAAATAGATGCTACCGGTACCTGGTACGAAGTCTCATTGAAGATGACTTTGGATGCGAATAGACTACTGACATCACTTCGGAGGCAATAGGGCACGAAGAAGAAGAGCGGAGTTGAGAGTATGACTTTAGAAACCGGTACCTGCCAAGTTCTCTTTGGGGACTTATCAGAAGACATTTCACTTGGTTCATTAGTCATTGGAACTTTGGAACTCCAAAATTCTTTTCCAAAGCCCGTTTAACTGCTTTCTGCCTCCGACTTGTCCTCCCCCCTCCGCGCGTCCTCCCTGAACGAGCAGCAGAAATAGAACGACGAAGCACACGATAAGGGGGATGCATTTTGCGAGGGCGGGTGGACTTGTTGTAGCCGGGCCCATCCCTATAGCACGAAGGGGAAATCTAGCTACGTACAGTATAGTAAAAGTATTGCTATTTGAAGACGGGCACCCTGCAGTGCATTCAAATTACATGTAACGCAACTTGGCCAAGCCAGTGGTTTCATTCATACTTGAATACCAAAATCTCACGGACAGCTTGAGCAATCTTTGTGGCCAGCTCCACGGGTACAGCGTTGCCCACTTGGCAATACTGTTGTCCCATTGTTCCACAAAACTCGAAGGTTGTCGGAAAGTCTTGAAGCGTGGCGCATTCTCGAACGGAGATGCAGCGGTCATGATGGTAGTGCAAAGGAGGTACACCGGTCCGAATGGCAGGAGAGAAGCCGTCTGCCCGAAGCTTCACAACGCCGTGCTCACCCGCATTCAATGAGGTTGTGGCGTGCCATGTGTTCCGCAAGGGATGGCCCAATCGATCATTGCCATCTTCAAGGCCTGAGAGAACGTCTTGGACGGTGACAAATGGAAGGAGGTTTCCTTCATTTCCATGGGTCTTTTCAGGGATTTTGGGTGGTGGAGCAGATTGATGAGTTGCGAATAGGATCAGCCGAGGGCGGATCTGAGCACTGCCGTAATCACATGCACGGAGCTCAGAGACACGAACTTGGTATCCAGATATCATGAGCCCTTTGACCAGGTTCTTCAAGTAGTGCACATGCTTCCGTCGCCACATGCCAAGCACGTTTTCAAAAGTTGCCGAAAGGGGGCGAAAGATTCGAACGGCATCAATGAGAGTTAGAGAGAGGTCATTGTTTTTCTTGTCATTGCGTCCTCCCATGCGATTGGCTCCCGAGAAGCCCTTACAAGGAGGCGTCGCATTGATATGGCCGATACGTCCCAGCAACGAGTCCCTTGTAGCTTGATCTTCGTACTGCTCTAGGTAGCTGTTCACGTCACAGCGAACGACTGGAACCCCCGGGCAGTTCTTCTTCATGGTTGCAACGGCAAGAATGTCATTGTCGACAGCTTCCACAGTGGTAAATCCGGCATTTGCAAAGCCTAGGTGCATCCCACCGGCACCAGCAAACAGCTCTAGCACACGCAGCTCCTCCCTCCTTCCTTTCCTCTTAACTCGGCCAGCACTATCGTCAAGGAAGTACCCAAACCGATTCCAGGAACCCTCGGTTTGGGGTTCGTAAATCCACTTGGGAATGCCATCGATCCCGGGGGCCCTCCCAGCCATGTTTTTTAGACTGAGGATTGAAACCTTTTCATGGACCTGGCAATGAGAAAAAGGTCTGAAATTTGCCTGATAGTCGACTCCTTCCTCCTCCATACCAAGGAAGGTGTCTTCAAATGGAACTACCAAAACGCACTCTGCTTGTTGTCGCGTCACGAACCTTTTAATCCCAACAATGACAGTGACGGCATGGCTGGATCGTGTACTTCCTTGCTCAACCTTGTAATTGTAGCATAAGCCATTGTAGAACACGCGGCCATTGAAAGTAATCTGTTCTGGGTCGAAAAGATTCTGATTGGCAGGATTAGGCTGTTCGTTGGTGCTCTCACCGCGGGCTTTTTGGGTGGAACGAAACCCCTGAATGGCGATGCTTAGATTGCTCTTGATTATCTTTTCTCGTTGTCTGCGTGGTTCTGGATCTTTTACAAGGTCGTAGTCGTCCTCATCCTCGTCTGGTTCCGGGGTGTCCACATTGTCATCTGGAGAGACACGGCTGGCTCTGTTTTCTTTGTGATTTCTCTGGGAATTGCCACCGCCGGCTAAGTCGTCGTCTATTTGCTGGTGGTTATCTGAGGATTCCTCGTCATTTCTGCCTCTGATCCGGGTATCATCCATGGCAACAGCACTACTGACACTTTCTTTTTCATCATCTGGTGGATTTTCCTGGACTTCCCCCGACGCGTCGATCACTCCGTCAGATGATCTTTCAGCAGAATCATCGTCGTCGTCATCATCCTCTTCTTTCGTCTCTTCGCTGTTGCTTTGCCGTTCAAGGTCTTCATCAGAGCAAAACTGCTCGCTTTTAGGGTAGGATTTGGGTTTGTCTTGGATACGCGCAGAGCACTCAGAGTAGAATCGCTTTCGCCCACGTTGGCGTACCGGAGTCAGCGTGGCGTAGTCGTCATCGACGCTGCCATCAGTCCCTCCATGGACATGCTGCCGGCGGCACTCTTCTATCTGATCATCAAACTTCTGATTAATCTTTGCTATGAACAAGTTTCTGTCTTCTCGCGAGTTCAAGCCGTTGTTTGGATCTTCAGAGGCAATATATAGCTTGCGAAGATATTCTTTCCTTCGGTCCTCGATGCACTCAATCTTACGTTCCAACCTTGACGGCCTCTCTCCTGCTCTCTCATGGTGTCCCGGCATCTCTCTGCCTGGTACCTGCCAAATTGCGGGGTCGTTCAGCGATGCCTCAAGCTGGCCAAATCATGGATATACCCACGAGCATCTTTCTCCGAAAATCTTAATTCTGAAACTTCGTTCCACTCCCTCCAAAAGATACCAAACGGGAACGTGTGGTTGTCAGTGCTCGGCAAAGAGGTGACGAGGTGACTTTTAAATATTCACGGGGTTTTTTGGTGACTTTTAAATTCCTTTCCAAACATCAAAATTCATTCCACTTTCGGAATCTCCCTCGGAAAGATATCAGTTGTTCCTCCCACAACCCGACCAATAGCCATAGTTTCCGGACATCACTGCTTCAAAAAACAAAAGATGGGTGATTTCCAATTCATCTGTGAAGAGGCGGACATTGGGCTTGGTAGGAAGACAAAGAAAAAGTTCTCTGAGGAGGGTATCTTGTCGTTCCATGATCTCTTGAAGAAGACGCTCGTGTTGGATCCCAAGAATGCTGTCGAGAACGAATTGTTCAAAGTTGTCGATTGGTACAAATGGTTTCAGAGAAGCCATGGCCGTGCTCCTGTGATGGGACGAGGTGGAGATTTTAATGGTGATGCCTTCGATGATTTCAAGGAGAACAGCAGCACCGTAGAAATCCCAGTGCCGAGGAATGCTCTAGGTGAAATCTATGGTCTCCTAAGAGATGACCAACAAATCAACGACTTGGTCAAACAGAGGGGACTAATGTCACGTATCCAAGCAGAAACAGTCAAGGACATTGAAGCAGCCATGACACCAGAGCTGAAGAGGGGTGTTGGTACCTTTGACTCTAACAGTTTCTCTCGAATGGTTGTTGATATTGTCTTCCACAACGCAGAACCGAATCAGCAAAACTCCTTGGCATTTGTGGTTGGACAAACACAAGTGGGAAAATCCTCTGTCAAGGCAGTGACATCTCTGGCCTCCAATTCCGTGAGAGTCCCAACAGTGATAGTGACACGTGGAGTCAGTGAGAGCAAAGAGTTGGTCAAGAAACTACGCGGCTTTCTCGACAGAACACCTTTGGCAAGGCATGTGGTAGGTGTTTCGTCTCCTGACAGGGATGGGACGCTGAAGAAAGGACCTAGAAAGTTGGAGGAGCTCAAGAATGCCCTGACCAAGAATGGAGCCGTTGTACTGGCTGATACAGCTCACCAAATGAAAAAAGTCACTGATGCACTGAAAGCCAACAAAGATGAGGACCCCAAGTTTGAGTTCTTGCTAGTAGTGGATGAATGTGATGCTGTGTTGTGCCGGACTCCAGACCGCAGAACAAAGATTGAGCAAGCCTTCGATAATCTAGTGGATTTGATCCCCCCAATCCTCACCGTCATGATTTCTGCGACCCCCGTGCCTCTCATGTTGGAGGCTGCCTACCAAGAGCGATACAAGAAAATGGGAGAACCTCAAATGTTCAGCATTGAGCCTCGTGAAGAATACTGTGGTATTAATGATATGGAACTGTTGCAAGATCACAATGGTGACACGGTTTTTCTAGACTCCAAAGAGCTGTCCTGGAGCACATTTTACACTTGCCCAGGTGACTCCCTCCTCATTGAGAATGCGGTAGGAGATCCATCCAAGAAAGGAGTGCTTCTACTGGATTGTACAAATCCCAGAGTGTACGCCCCAGGGAATGTAAGGGAAAAGGCAAAACACTTTCAGGAAATGGCAAAGGCTGAGCATGGAAGGAAGGTAGTTGTGATGATCAAAGTTGGACGTGGCATCGAGGTGCTTGCCCCATCTTCGGAAAGTGATGACAATGAGGAGCCGAGTTGGATTTGGCAGGACACAAAGTTGGATGTGGATGACGTGATTGGAGAAATCGATGACTTACATGGGCTGGACACACCTGTCTTCTGTTTTGGCTTCTCTAAGATGTCCCGTGGTTGCTCGTATAGAAGTGTTCGCCGTGTACCAACCCATATGATCATCTCGCTGGGACGAGGACACAACATCATGAGTTATGTCCAAGCTCTTGGACGGGCTACCTTCAATGGAAAGTCCATCCTCTCCAAGAATGGATTCAGTGCTGTCACCGTCCTAACGACCCCCCAAGACTACACGACAGCTGTCAAGGAACTCAGGTTTGTAGATGAGATGTTCCGCCGTGTGTGGGATGGTGAGACATTCCGACAGGCACTCACTGGAGCAAAAACGATGATCCCAGATGCTGCGAATTTTTTGCGGAACACCCCACGTGCAGTAAGCCGCTTGAAACGCCATCGAGAGCAACTTCAGATATCCAAATTTGAAAAACCACCAAAAGAGCTGTCTTTGCCAGAGAAGGTCGTGAGGCAGAAACACTTCACAGACGAGCTTACACAAAAAGTATTGCGTGTGATTTGTGAGTGCTCCAATAAGAATGCCTCAGCAATGTGTGCCGATGACGTAATGGAGGCTTTCAATGATACATTTCTGGATGACGAAGTCCAAATACTCATGAAAAAGCTCCGCCCAATTCTGAGGTCATTGGTGGACGATGCAGTGATTCAAAGGTCCGAAAAGTCCAGGCGTGCAAAAACTATATGGTACAGTGTTGATTGTCCGCATCGTCTCTTGAGGTTCATGAATAGGAAGCTGGCTCTGACTAAAGAAGAGGTTGCTGATGGGGACACGCTGGAACTTGCCATTGGCATGGGTGAAGGTGACTCCCTTTCGGATGTGTCGTCTGATGACGATGGCATCCCCATGGACGTTGTGGAGGAGAGCCCCCCTAGCAAACGCCCTTCTGTTGAGGCTATTAGTCAAAGAGGAAGGAGTCATCCCACAACCCTGCCAGTTCAGAACGTGGCAACAGCAGCTGGAAACAACCCACAGCAGTTCGACCAAGAACCTGCTGGTGGGTCGGAGGATCCCCAAGAAGAGGAGGAGGAGGTGTCTCCATCCAACAACTAGATGCATCCCTCTGGAACTCATTACATCGACCACGATTCCATTTGATCATGTAGCGTAGTTTGTTTTGCAAAGGTCTTGTCAAGATCTGGATATTTGCAGTACTGGGTTTGCTATGGATTGGAGAGAGCTAAGATGAGGATGGGGACAGAGCTCGAGATCTGCAGGGTTCGGAAACAGGTCTTAAATCACGCAACTATTTTCACGCAGACCTGCGTGAAACTAACGGCTAGTTTCACGCAGGATACTAGTTTCACGCAGACCTGCGTGAAACTAGCCGTTAGTTTCACGTGCGTGAAACTAGTACTAGTTTCACGCAGGTCTGCGCAAAACTAAGTTTAGTCGTGCGTGAAACTATCAATCCGTCCATAGTATTTACTAGTTAAATCTTGAGTGAAACTAGCCGTTTTGCTGCGTGAAACTAGTAACTAGTTTCACGCAGCGCTGCATGCGTGAAACTAGCAGTTTCGAGCTAGTTTCACGTAGATACTATCTGCATGAAACTAAGTACTAGTTTCACGCATGCATGAAACAGCTAGTTTCACGCAGCTGTGGCATCCAACTGGCCTCTCAACCCACAGGATTTGTTGTACACAGTGTACCTACCACTAAATATAAATTTTGTGTAGCGTTCCTCAATCTTGCATGGCTTATATCGAAAACCTGCCCTATTTTACGTTTAGACTTAGAGTCAGATTCCCCTTAGGTTGGGTTGTTGAGTTTCGAAACCGACCCTAAAATTCGGGACGGATTCTGAAAAACCATTAGGGTCGGTTTTCGATTTAAGGTCAAATTGAAAACCGTCCGACTGAATGGTAAAAACATTGAAATCTGGTCGGGTTTCGAAACCGACCCAAAATTTAGGGTCGGATTCTGGAATAACGCCCCTAATTTAGGGTCGGATTTTGAGATAAAAGCGGGTTTCAAAACCGACCTAAAAAGGTTTTCAAAGATTCAGGGTTGGATTTAAGGTCGGATTCGACAATCACCCACATTTGAGGGAAGCTCCTGTCTATGATTGAATTCTGTAATTAATGGGACTGATCCAAGAGATTTGGATCCATGGAGGATTCTGAGGAGGAGGAGGTGTCTCCATCCGGCAACAGGTTGCATCCCTCTTGAACTCATTACATCAGTAACTTCTCAAAAAATGTGTTTCATGCTCGGTACAGAGTGGAGGGAATTATTGGCTTATAAGCTCAACTTTATCGCTCCCCCATTGCCGAACAGCTGTGCAGTCTCTCGAGTGACTCTCGAGTTCGAGCAGATGAAGACACCCAGCACTAATTCCATAGTACTGGTGTGGTTGCAGGTGATTTCATTCGCTTTAGCGCTGCCTGTAATCACGCGCTAGCCTTCGAGATCATTGGAAGGGATCTTGTACGTACGTCAGTGGAGGTACGAAAGATTCGGGTTCTCATTTGGAATCCGAATGACGTCAGTGGAGGTACGTGTTCTAGCCTCTGTGCAGTATTCGCTCCCCCTAGGAACCGCGAGGAATTCCGGGGACTATGGTGGAACGAGAACTACGAGTCATTACTAACGTACGGTGTGAAGAATGGTATGCTTTCGAGCGAACTCGGGGAACTGACTGTCGAGTACTAGTACGAAGTAGGGATACTAGCGTGTACTTCTCTTAACTCACGAACTGAGGCGATTGGAGAGCCATTCTGAAGGACTTAGACGTTGGTCACTAGATATCCGGCGAAGACTGATGTCACGATGGAAAGGGTACCCCCCCATAGTCTACGGTATTATCTATGCGGAACGTCATATACTATGTACAAGTGAGACTTGACGGATCGCACCGATGGAGGTGAACTTCTCCCCCCAAGTCTTAACAAAGATTGTGGTACGAGTTACGAGGAAGTAAGACTACACTTCCCCGGAACGGTGTGGATGCTATCGGAGCAGGGAGTTACTCACGGGGCAACCTTGCTAATTATGTGTCGTGGCTCTCTAGCCCTGTAGTGTAGGAACCACAGACTTGTAGAATGCATGAGAGTACTTATGGGCTATTGAACTAGAGCATACTTACTAGCGCCGTGCCGACATGTGAGTTTCGTGGAGGTGGAAGTGAGAATCTCATACTACCACCAGAAGTACAGTACTTGACCGGGGATTAAACTACAGGCCTCCACACCTTGGCTCGACTGTGGATGACCGAGGGAATCACTAAGTAGGACTGACTATTAATCCAGTAACTTCTCAAAAAAGTGTTTCATGCTCGGTACAGAGTGGAGGGAATTATTGGCTTATAAGCTCAACTTTATCGTACATCATCAAACATGAGTCTAGTTGATTCTGTGTTTATTCCAGGCTTTACTTCTTTTTGTGCCTAATCAAAATCCATATGCACAAGTTTGACTGCATCCTGCTGACCTCCATTCCCCCAAGATTGGTCTTGCCAGTAAAGAATGGTTTTGTATACACCAACCTCAAAGTCAACAAACACAAGAAAATAAGTGGATTGTTTTATGTTTTTTTGGACTAGCTAGCTGAGTATCGTGGCCTGAGCAAAAGTCTGAGTGTAACCAGTATTAGTTTCTTGCATTCCCCTGATCATTCTATCATACCGTACAGAGCGCTGTCAAGAAGTTTGGGAGTTTGGCGAGGACCAATCAGGTTCAGGCGATGACCAAGCGGGACTCTAATATTTCCACAATGGTCCACCGGGCAAGGGGGGATAATGAAGCCCTCTATGAATACCTATCGTATGGTACACCAGACCCCACAAAAAGCTAACTGGTGGTACCGCTATGTCCATTGCTTCGTAGTAGCAGCAGCTACTGTACCTGCAAGGTCCTGAAACGGGACTCAAAGCATTACTTAGTTTCACGCTTTTGGGTTAGTTTCACACTTTTTGGGTTAGTTTCACGCTTTTAGGTTAGTTTCACGCTTTTCGGGTTAGTTTCACGCTTTTTGGGTTAGTTTCACCCTTTTCAGTAGTTTCACTCTTTTCGGTTAGTTGCACGCTTTTAGTCGTGTTTACATTGATTGACTATGACAGATACAGTACTAGTTTCAAGCTTTTTGGTTATTGCTACACTTTTGTTTTACTTTCACACTTTTTGGGTTACTTTTACGCTTTTCGGTAGTTTCACGCTTTTTTGTTACTTTCACGCTTTTTGGTTACTTTCACGCTTTTCGTTACTTTTACGCTTTCAGTCGTGAAGAGTCCTGTTTCGTGAACTTGCTGTAGTCCGAGTGCGGTCTGCTTTCTACGTTTTGTGATGCTTCCCACGTTTGTGATTTTCCACGCTCAGCACCACCCAATAAGATTCGATGCAGAAAGGACACTATGGTCTCAGCGGACTGCCTGGCTTAGGTTAGGAAATCCAATTTCCCGTTGCAGATTCGATTCGACAACGCCAACAAAAAGATGAGGCTTCAATGAGAAATTGACTCGACTCGATCTCGGACCTCTGTCTTGAATAATATCCAGCATTATGTCGTCGTCCAAGGGTAAGCATCGCAAGGAATGAGAGTGTCTCAATTGGCCATGGCAGTGTCGATCTAATGTTTCTGTTCTGTTCTTCATCATTTTGTAATACGGTACGGTAGAAGAAACAACGGCCGACAAAGCCAACGGCACCGCTTTGGCGGCAGAACCCGAGTTTACTATCGATGGTGCTGATGGATCCGCAATGGATCAGATCCATCAATCTACCGTCAGCAGTGCTCCACCGCCACCAGCACACATGTTTCCTCCCGCTCAGCGCTCTGCTACCAACGCTCATACCAGTACTACCAATCCCCTTCCTGCTCAAGTACCGCTAGCAGCCGATGACACTTCCAACGCTAACAGCAGTTTTGCCAGTCAACTTGCCGTGGATCGTTCCATGTTTGGTCCCAGTACTGGTCAATGGTCTACCAAGTTCTTTTCGTGTTTTCAGGTCTTTTTCACGGCTCTTTTCTGGATGGGATGTTTCTGTTTCCCGTGTGTCTACGGCCAATTGTTGCAACGCATGAATATGGATCTTACCGGACGATCGCCGCATCCCGAACGACCTCGTGTCAGTGGCGTCTGCATGAGTGTGCTGGTCATGACGACACTGGTCTATTGCTTTTGGTGGATGGGAGTCGAAGGATTCCTCGTGGATGTCATGAATTGGCTCTTTATCGGGTACTGCATCTTTATGGGATTCATCTTACGCAGTAAAATTCGAAAGAGATTTGGAATTGCACCCATTACGACGTTTTTGACACTCTGTGATGGGATACTGGAAGACATACTCCTTGCCGTTTGTTGCAATTGCTGTTCTGCCATTCAAATGGCACGACACACACACGATGAATCACGATTTCCCTACAATGGATGCAGTACCAACGGATTGCCGTCTTATGCACCGCATTTGTGGGATGGACCGGCATTGTTAGGAGACGACAACGACAATCCAGCAGCAGCAGCAAGAAGAAGAGCACCCCACCAGTACGATATTCATCCCGCCTATCGCAGCAGTCCGGCAATGCAAGAAATGGTCGAATACCCTTACCAAAACAACAATAATCACAGCAGCAGCAGTATCGTCCAACAACCACAATCCTCCAAACAAGACGCACCCATGACCAATGTGGAAATTGTTTAGCAGTCGATCGATGCATGTACGTACGTTCATTCCGAATCAGAAGCAGCGTGCGTACTACGGGATTCCTATTTTAACGAAGGCGTGCCTGGTTTGAAGCCACGGCCTGCACGAACACAAAGGACATCTCTGTAGCTAGAGTTTTCGAGCTACCGTACATGCAACCGATCTCGGGAAACTGCTACAATGTAGACCGGTAGTCTAGTTGCGAATAGGTTTTAATAAAAACGTTGTTGACGTACGTGCTAGTAGGACTACAATTAATTATTGTTCACCGTACAGTAGCCACTGGATCACTTCGAATTGGTTATTCCTGCGAGCAGCTTTCTTGCATTTCGTTACACTCCAAGGACAACCATTTTGATGAGCCCACTTTAGAAGTTCCAAATGCCCATATGCAGCAGCAGATAGACATGTCCGTTTACTCCATGGACAACCATTTTCATGAGCCCACTTGAGAATGTCCAAGTGGCCACCTTTAGCAGCACCTGAGCAGGTCCGTTCATTCCATCGACAACCATTTTCACGAGCCCACTTGAGAATTTCCAAATGTCCATTTTCAGCAGCAACACAACATGTCCGCTCATCCCATGGACAACCATTCTCTCTTAACCATTGGAGTAATTCAAAATGTCCATTTCTAGCCGCTGCAGCACATGTCCGCTCACTCCAATAGAATCCTTGTTGCCGTGCCCATTTCATGACAGCAAGATTTCCATATCTGGCAATCACATTGCAAACATGATTACGCTGAGGCATCTTATTGCTGGAATTGTCCTTGAGCCAGTATTCTGCACGTTGCTGGTTACAGAATGTTTCTCTGTAAAGAGTATCAGTGCTTTCTGCAGCACGACTGGGAAGATAGTGTCGAGGGGAATCCTCTACCTTTCTTGGATTTTTGTTGAGTTCAATTTCACAGTACTCTTTGTACAGTTGATTCATCTTCTTGTTAACAGCTCCTACAAAAGCGTAATGCCCAACACCTATAAAAGGGAAAATGCCTTCGATCGAAAAGCCGTCGTCAGCCAACAGAAGAGCTTCGATGGGAGGAGTACCAGTACCAGTACCAGTACCAGCACCAGTACCAGTACCAGCACCAGTATTAGGGCAAATCCCAAAACCAGTTGCACTGCTATCAGAAGACATGATGGTAAGAGAAAAGAAGAAAAACAAATACCAAATAGATAGTGATATGATGGATGCACCAACAACAGAAGAAGAAGTTTTGAAGAAAGATTGTGTTTTATGGCTGGCTGCTACCTGGTATCTAGTCTAGCTAGACTTGTAAGAATAGTGGTACTGGTGGTAGCAAATCAAATTTTATGCTGCGATGTTTTGGAGCGGACCATACGGTACAGGACGTGAAGTAGGCGGGTTTGAAGCGTGCCCTATAGGTTGTGGCAAAGGACGAGCTGGTGTGAGGAATCTGGAGAATGGGGATTCTTAAGAATCATTTTGTTCTTTTTGCTGATTCTTAAGAATCATCAGGCACCCAGTATGCAACCTAATATACTAGCAATATGGGCTTCATAGCTAGCAATGCTATCCCCTGATACTATCTGCTAACCAATAACAATGTTTGCTGATAAGACAAGTCTTGTAATGATGCATTAGTGCATACCAAAACCATTGCAATGGAGTCTTTCTTGATTTTTACAAGTATTCCCAAGATTCAGCATATTTGCATTGAGGATTCTTAAGAATCATCATAATTTGGAGAGGATTCTTAAGAATCAGCAAATTCCATTCAATGATTCTTAGGAATCAGCATTTTTCATTGCTGATTCTTAAGAATTATCTAGCTTTTTCTTAAGAATCTGATTTTGAAAAAACTGATTCTTAAGAATCATTTGCTGATTCTTAAGAATCATTTGCTGATTCTTAAGAATCATCAATTTCCAAGAATCTGGAAAATTCTGATTCTTAAGAATAGTCTGATTCTTAAGAATCCTTGTCTACCCAGTATTTGATTCTTAAGAATCATAATTTTCCCAAGATTTTTTCCTGATTCTTAAGAATAATCTGATTCTTAAGACTCCTTGTAACAGAGCGAGCAAACGGAGAAGCTACCATGGGTTAGATGGGACTGACTGTATGTGCCGGTATCAGACTTCTTTAGACGTGTCTTTATTACAAGCCGATCGTACGGCTCGAGCTACAGTACATAAGCTGCTACGGTACATCCATGTTTGGCGCACGTGTTGTGAAAGATCTGTTCGACTGCAATGTCGACTCGGGAAGAATTCACACAGCCAAACAGGCTTACAGGTGGATCCTCCCAATGGCGCCATCGCAACTGCTATTGTACATGTACCTCCTGTCATCATACAGTACTTGATTCAAGGCTGTCACTCTGTCTCTCAATGTTGATCCGTTGATGGATGCATAGATCATCTCTAGTAGTAGTAGCTATACCAGACCGGTACTGTACTATACTAGTACTAGTACTCTAGAGTAGTACTTTACCATGGCCAAGAGCTCTACTGGTATGAATCTGAAGGAAGGGCCGCGGGGATCGATAGTGAAGTTTGCTACTAGTAGTACTAATGGTGGTACCAGTGCCGGTATGAATCTGCATGGTAGTGCTACCAGTGCTAGTGCCAGTCTACAAGCTCCCATTGCCATTGACAATTTCTTCAAGAACATTAGCCCCGTGGGAAAATTCGACCGTTGGATCAGTGGTATCCTGCAAAAGACAGTGCTGCAGCCACACTACTATTTGCGGAGACAACTATACTTTAGTTTTGGCATTACGGCCTGTCTGGGTATATCGTTCTTTGTGGGGATTGGAATTTTGACGGCGACGCTGAGTGGACTAACCGTCATTCACGAGGCGCGACAAGTTCAGGAAGATTTGGCGCGCCACACACTGGGCACGTCGGCTCGATACACGGCCGAAACCATTACCAAGAAATTCAACAATTACGTCACGGCATCGGCATTGCTGCGACAAGCCACTATGGATCGCATTGTGGGATACAAACATGAATCCAACACGTTTCTCTCGCCAGAAACCACCGACCGGTGGATCCCCTTTCTCGATAGTGACACGGGAGCACCCATCTATCCACTCGATACACCCGAATTGCTACGTTTGGATTGGAATGTATCCACCAACATTCATACCGCTCAAGATGCTCAAGAACACTTGCAAGGCCGAAAATCGTGGTTTCCCGAAAAGTTGCAAGTCAGTACGGCATATGCCGCCTATTTCATGCAGGGCGCTTGTGATCCCACGGCACTGGAGCAAGATGATCCCGCCTTCTATCCCAATTGCACTCACGCCAACAATAATCTCGAAACGGGAGGTGTCGTCAGTCCTTCGCCCACCAATCGCTTTTTGGCCAACAAAGCCAAAGACTTGGTATTTTTACTCAAAGGACTCTACGAAAGTCACGTCAAAGTCAAACAATTGGGCGTTTACTTTGCCAATTCTGGGGCGGGCAGTTATGTCAAATTTCCGGCCCATATCCGGGATGGAGCCGGTACATACACCACAATTGGCTGCGATTGGTTGCGACGGACCATTAATCCGTACACGCGCAAATTCATGGGCACGGCCGAAGAAGCGGCGCGATGTCACCCGTACTCGCGTACCAACAGCACACAAAACATCGTGCCGCTCCGCGAATACAATGCCTTGGAACGACCGTGGTGTGTCCGACAAGCCAAATCCCGCGATGGAACTCCTGTGAGCACGGGTCCCTACAAGGACGCATCGTCCAGTGCCGACGCTACCATTTGGGTATTGACATTTGGACACGGCGTCTTTGATCGACTGACCCAAGAATTCATTGGGTGCACACTGATTGATGTCACACTCGCCGATCTACGGGATGTACTCGATAGTGTCCAAGTCGGTGTCACGTCGTCCGTCGCATTGGTTCGATGGCAGCGACAAGACGAAATACAAGGTGATACGGCACGCGAAGGCATGGTCATTGCCTGTGCCAATTGTCAAGTCGATCCACTCCAACAAACCGAATTGTTGCATGTCACCAATCCCAAATTGGGATTGGGAGTTGATGAAGTGCTCTTTGCACAAATGCAATCGCTGGTGGATTATAATCAAGTGTGGGATCCAGATGATGTACGGCGGCGCTACAATCAAACTGTTTATACCAATGACGGTCGCCTGATCATGATGTCCCCCATTCCCTATTTGCCGTCGGAATACGATCCTTTCTACCGGCCCGAGTACATGATTGTCATGACCATTTCGGAAGCGGAAATTTACGGAGATTCCAATCGCATGGAAGCCGTGATTCGTGGGGATATTCGAACTGTCATTCGAGATATTTGTCTCATTGGCGTGAGTGGATTAGTCCTCATTTTTGGATTTCTGACTTGGATCAGTCGGACGCTGTCCAAACCATTGACGTGGATGCAGGAAACCACGGCACGTGTCATTACCAATGCCGGTGGGGATGATTTGGCGGCGGGAACGGGCAATAATACAACGGCGCACATGGCACAATGCAGTCCTCGTACTGAAGTTACCGTGCTCTTGTCGGAATTCGAAATGATGATGGATGGTTTTTCGTAAGTAGTAGTTGCATGCGGTATCTGTCTTTCTCTCTTTCGAGCTCAATCGTTGGATGTTCTCAAGTGCTTGTTTGCTTTCTTCCATTTATGATATATTTGAAACAGTGGAACTGGTGCCGCCGAAGTCGCAGATGCTCGCATCAATGAAGTAGAAAACAAATTTGTATGGAGAGAAGCGTACCAAGTACTGTATCCCTACAATTTTCGAAAGAACGAGATTGAGAGTGACGACGACAGTGTCCAGGAGCGAAATCGGATCGCCGATACGGTTTCCGTGACGACACAGGTGACGTTGCTTTCGGCATTGACGGAAAACAGTCTGGTGCAGTCCTACATTACACAACCGTACAGTGAGTTGGCTCAGAATTTGACCAAGTCGGTGTCGTCCATTGCCAATGCCAGCTACACGGCCGGCATGGAACGGTTACCAGAGTGGGCACAAAAGCTACTCAATGCAGGCACGGTGGAATCGGACGACCTCCCAGATTACATTGTTTCGCCACCCAAGGTCAATCAGGGACGCAACATGAAAAACACCGAGACGGGAAGTGTAGACCACAACAAGCCAATAGAGGTATCGAGTTCCTCCCGGCTGTTCTGGTGGGTGACATTGTGTATCGGAGTTCCCATCCTGGGCACTGCAAGTAAGTCGTTCTCTCCACGATTACGTGTATGATGTCTCTGTTGTTTCGCTCTCGTGTCAGTTTCTCACACTGTTTCTCCCTCTTGGCGACATTGTTGCCTACTGTATAGCTGCTGTCGTATGGATGGGTCAGGAATGGATTCGCAGCAACTTGGGTGATTGGCTGGAGGATGTCAAGGCGTCCTCGTATGACCTAGAACAGGATGCTGTGAGTATTCTTCAATTTACAGTATTCGTCCGTGCAGAGAGCCGCACTGACCACTTGTTTCGCCTCCATGCCGTCCGAATTACTGCCTCCCTCTGTTAGATTGTTACTGCTACTCTCTCACGCTCAGCATACGGCGAAGAGGTAATGTTTCGGTTCACCAGAGATTTGCACATTTATGCTCGAACTGCAGGGTGGCTGCTGTTCGGCGCATTGACAAGATCCAAGGGTTTCACGACACTGCGAACCGGGGCCGAAGAATGCAAAGTTTACGAAAAAGGAACCTGTCCTTTCCAAGACAATCGTGTTCCGTGTGACTGTGCCTGGAATGACCCCTATGCGACAGAAGGTCAATGCACCAACTATTCAGCCTCTCCTCTTGCTTATCTTGGATCTCGACCGTATCAAACTAGTTGGTTCGAAGGCCAACGCACCGACATTGACCCTGAGACCGGCGCCCGAGTCTCGGCGGCCTCGTACAACAAAACAAGTGCAACACCGGACGGAACGGCTTGGTGGTCTGATCCTTCTGAATTACCAGGTGCTGAAAAGGGCTCATCTGCAGCTGGGTATGCAACGACCTACGATCGAGTACGCGTGCTATCCGCCATGGCTGCCATTCAGTTCCCTCTGTACAACTATTATCCAGGTCGTGATGAAGAGCGGCATTTGGGTTCCTTCATCGGCTTGGATGCAGACGGGATGGTGAGCTTGGTTTGATGGCACTGCTCGATTTCTTGAACCCACCCCCTCATGATTCTTTTCCTGCGTTCGTTTCGTGTACCATGTGTTTAGATGTTTGGCTATGTTGGCTGTGGAAAAGGACACTCTGAGTATGCCCACTTCCAGTCCAAAATCTCAAACGGTGCTGCTAATGTTGCTCCTAAATTGTGTCCCAAGGGAAAGTTCGGATATGACTGCCGCTGTAGAGGATGGTACGAGCGTGCCAGAGAAGAGGAAGTGTACATTTCCTCACCCTACGTCTTTGCAGCCGGTGCTATGTAAGTTGGGAAATTTGACTTCGAATTCACCTCGTCTTGACTCAGCCTCTCACCAATCCTAACCGCGTTACTGCCAGTGGGACTTCAGCAGCCTCGACCATCAGGGATCCAGTGACATCTGAACTGATAGCTGAGGCTCTCCTTGATTTCCTTCCGACTGCCCTTGCTAAAGCACTGGGGCCAGGTAGTACAGTAATTGGACCTGGCGATCAGGGCTTCCCGATAGTGATTACTCCAAGCAAAAACATCTTTGGAGGGAACACTATTATTGGCCCCGGTTACGAGATTGACGACGGTTCTACATCGATTCTAGACTTAATTGTTCCCGAAGATTCGAATTCCACAAGAAACTACCAGGAATTCAGCAAGATAGTGAAGAAAATGGACCAAGGCGACAGTGGCAACGTGACCTTCGTTAGAACTCAAGACGGCGATCCTCAAAGCGTTTTCATGGCATATGCTCCAGTCAATGTTAGGGTTCTCCGTCCTGTTGACCACCGCGACTTCGCAGCTGGAAGCAATGCTTCTTCAAAACTGGTATACGGACTTGCCATCGGCATTGTCGAGAGCGACCTTTTCCTTCGATACGAAGCGGTCGAGGAAAGAGTTGACCAGCAAGTTTTCATGTCGACCGCCGTCAGCGTTTTCTCCATGGTGATCATTGCAACTCTTTTCACCGTCTTGACCTACTACATCTCCCTGAATATCATCCGTCCAATCATCGCTTTGACAAAGGTGAGCCTCAGATTGGAACTCGATCCGTGGAACTCTTTGACGTCCACTCTAACACATTGAGGTCCTTTGAATGCAACTGAAGATTGTCAAGAGCATCAAGAACAAGAGCCTTCGTGAAGAGATTCCCGACGTACAGGGTGGTAGCAGGGAGGTTTCGTTTGTTCATGAGTCGTTCCAACGGCTCATGAAAGTTGTTCGCTTCGCAAATACTGCTTTTTTTGCGGGAGATAGAACCCAATCATTCCATAGCATGGAGGATGCTCTCAATTTGTTTGTGAAGGTAAGACCAACTGGCAAACGTTATACAGGCACTGCGAGGCGCTGGTGCCATTGGCCACACGGAATCTAACTAAGCCTGCTTTGTACTAGCTCGGTAATCAAAAAGCAATCGGCGTGGCAAACAATAACGTAAGTTTTCATTTCGTCAGATCTGACAACATCATCTCTTTGATTCAATCGATACCTCACGAAAGTTTCTTGTTGTCCTGTCGAAAGCTTGGTACAATGGTGCTCCAAGAGCAAATGGAATCGTTTGGAACCGATCGCCATTTTGACAACAGGTACGCATTCAGACATGTTGCCGTCTGGTTTCTGTAACGGGTGCTCTGACTGACCAAATGCGCTGGCGCTCGTTGTCGACTACAGCATGTTTGGTATCTGCATTTCCGAAATCTATAACGTTGGAATAAACTACTTTGACGAATCGATCAAGAATGGATCGTTTGAATATGAGCTGGCGCGAGACACCGAAGACATGGGTCCGTATGCTAAGCAGGCAAGTTCTTTGCTTGGTGAAATGGTCGTATTGCTTGGGAATCCGAAGCTCATTGTTTGTGCTTTCCCGCCAGCTCGCCAACCGTCACTTCAACCGTGGGATGTTTCTTGTGGTAAGACGTCGCAATGTTGGACTCCTTTGGAGCCTCCCCCATTACGTTATCCTGACCTGCTTTGTTTTCGTCTTGGCACTGGTCCAGGTGGTTCGACACCATCCGTTGTGCCCCAGTTGGATAAACGAAGATGGTGTTAGTGATATCCTCAGGGCCAAGGACCTCGACCTTGAAGTAATGAAATTCCTGCACCTGAACCATTTGGAGAAAGCATATGAAGTGCAAGAGTTTGAAAGTCTCCTTCGGCGTGCCCGGGGAATCTTGTTGCTGGTTCGGAACTATGGCTTCGCTGATCCATGGGGAATTGATACTCTCATCGAGATGGCAGACACAATGCTTTCAGAAGCCGTGTTTACATCAAACCTTTTCAATGCCATGGGCAGAGTAGGACGACGCCAACAGATTGACGACCTTCGGATACAACACGAACTCTGCAAAAAGGACTACCTGGCTGCTGGCAAGATCGCAATGCGCATGCTGGTGGAGGATGAGTATATCATAGATACGGTGATTGTCAATGCCAGTACGGCGGTGAACCGTTACTTTCAATCGGAAGGGATCCGGATCCCAACAATCAATGCCACTCAATATCTGCAAAGAGAAACGCGAAAGGCTCAGGTGAATGTGATGCGAGAAGCGAAGAATGTTTTCTTTTGTTTGGATTATAGTGGCAGCATGGCTGGTACGTGTGCAAGTTTGGCTATTGTTTCGCATCACTCATCGAGAACTGACCCTTGTTTCGAAACAACACCATCTGACGTCGCTGGCACATTGCAAAGGCGAACGCATGGCTCGTGCTAATAAGAACCTATTGTGGGTGTACCACGAACATTGTTCAGACAAAGACATGGTTGGGTTTATTCGGTTTAATCATGACATTGACGATAGTCTGTGGTTTCCGTTGGGCAAGAAAGGAGATTGGGGCCAAGTTCAAGAAGCCGTCTTGATGCAAGCCACTGGAGCTGAAGGTGGAACTCGATTTTACGCAGCCCTCAATCGTTGCGTCACACAGGTATGCATGTTGACTGATGATTCCACGCCGTTTGCATCTTCCTCGTACACGACAGGCTCACCCCAACGCAATCTGCCTTCGTGCTTGTACAGATTCTGAATACGGAAACAAAGAATGACACATGGATCATTGCCTTGACAGACGGAGAGTCATCCTGGGACCATCCTGCGAAGAAAGTAGTGGAACGAATATCGAACTCGAACAAGAAACGCAGCGCAAAGATTCATGTAATCATCATTGGTTTTGAAGTTCCTGTTTCCGTGGTCAAGACTTGCAAAGGGGTGACAGCTGTCACGGACAAATCCCTTTACATTGATGCTCGCGGTGGATTGGAAGAAATGGACAAAGCGTTTGAACAGGGTAAGTTTGAGGAGTGATCTGACGTCTGCTGTGCTTTCCTGTGCTGCGCTGTGATTGGGTTGCAAGCTCACTCATTTTGCTGTTGCAGTGGTGTCTGTGATTGGAGGGAGTGCCATTACTATGGAATCATTTTGAGCCCTTCGAAAATTTTGAGTGTGAGAGCCGTGTAGCTGTAGCATTAAATTGTAATACCGGGTTGTAGTAGTCTTCAAGCACAAATCCAGTTCGGTGGGTCCACAGAGACTGTATTTCACGGACTCGACTCGGAGTTCAAGGTTGATCTGGGCGAGCGTTGTAACCATCTATCCCAGGGAGAGACATATTTGTAAATAGAATTCTATTTTAAGGCTACTCAGAGTATGACTGTCCACCGTGCCGCTACCCTAAACCGATAACCCCCACAAACATTGGGGCGGAGAGAGTTGGCCCCCTCAGCCGGGAAAGTTTAAAACCCAACCGAGGCAAGATATTAAGGGGGAAGGTCACCAACCGGACCCGCCCGTGCTGCTGCTGTCATCAGCACTGCTACTAGCTGCAGTATTGCTGATAGTGTCAACACTGCTGTCATCTAAATCAAGGTCAGACCCGAAAGCCTGATCCAAAGTTGCTGCTGCCTCATGGAAGGCTGCGGCCAGTTGTTGCTGCTCTCTGCTTGCTTTGTCCACCACTGGCATCCAATTTGAAAGCCAGGCTTTGATATCGGATGGTGCCATTTCCATTTGGTCCTCTAGTGGCCTTTTGAAAATGGAGTTGACCTGGTCTGCCTGCTCATACAGAAGCTCTACTTCCCGTTGAAGCTGTTGCTGCTTCTTGATCCACTGCTGCTGTTTATCACGTCCATGCCTGGCTGCATTGCGGTCATCCCACAGTAGAAACCATTGTTGGAGTAAGAGATGAGCCAAGTTGGTAGTCCATACGGTACCATTTTTCTTTGATGTATTGCTTTTGAACATGATGGAGATAGTCTCCCTGGTGCTTGTCCACAATTTGGAGAGTCGGCCCTTGAGGAAGTTGTTCACCCAATGTGGTTCTGGTCGATGACCAGTTGATCATACCTTTCTGGGAACTCAGATGGGTAAAGATGCTTGCCTGCGAAGAAGCACTCGAGCCCTTGCAATGCAATGGCTAACAGGGATGGATCAGTATCACATTTGCGCAGTTGTTTGCTGACAGCCTGCTGCATGGTTGTCCTCCACAGTGTTGGATCCTCATGAGTGCACAGGTAGAGATGGGCTGCTTTGTCACCACCACAGTGTGGGCACCGATGATCGTACTTGGCATCATACTTGTGGACCCTTTTGCCCACTGGAAGAAAGCTTCACTAGTGTTGTTGTTCTGGTCTCGTGCCTGTTGACTGCCCTGCCATGGGCTGTCCAATCAATCAGATCTGGAGTGGTATCATTCCATTGAGTGTTGTTCTGGACCATGTTCTGCAGCACTGCAGGATCATTGCGTAGGTCCCTCAGGGTGCGTGGCACCTTGTATGTGCAGGTCCCGCCGGGAAGATGCAACTGTGCCAGGTTCACGGGCAACCGAAGCACTACTGTATGATCCACTCCCTTGTGTGTAGCCATAAAGGCACCGGCCAGCTTGTCTGCTTTGCAATTGAGTGGGGCCTTTGTCGGCAAGGTCTCAATAGCCCTATCTTTGTTCTGGTGGCTCTTGATGTGCTGCATTGTTGGAACACTGAGAGCCTTTCGAAAAGTCTCTTCAATCTGTTGAAGCACATCCCAGTCTGACTCCAATGTGTCATTGGGGTACCATCGTTTGTAGTCAAGACATTTGGCACACTTGCCATTGACAGATTCGTTATCCACCAAGTGAGTGTAAGATTGGATGACTTCGCAATGGAAGAACTCTGCCAGTCGCAGAATCAAACGAGTTGGGGCTGGGACCCCATAAGCTTCAGCCCTATATGAGGTTGGAGTCATACCATATACTGGACCAGCCCCGCGTGCCACAATGAATCCTTCCTGTGATGAGATCACCCACCCGAAGGAGGCATTGCCAGCCTCAGTGTTTGCAGCTCCATCGCTGGCTACCAGAAAAGGCCATTGCCTCATAAGCGAGAGAGCATCCTGTGGCCTTTGGGTCCATTCCAATTGCTCGAATAAAGATAGCTCCCAGGATTCTAGGGACATGAGAAAGTCGTCAAAAGCGTCCAGACGAGGTGGGGTAGGGCAGACATTCAGGATGTCTGCGTAACCGTTCCCCACAGTAATAGTCTGGCGCTTGTTAAACTTGTTGAGATCCCACGGAGAGACATAGTACACTGAACCGGTATTTTGTCGTACCAGAATTCCTCGTACCAAAAACACTAGACTGCGATACTGTAACAGTTAAACTGGCTTATAAAACACGACGAGGAGGATACCATAGGACGACGAAGAACAGATCGACGAGCGACGAGCAGCATCGGGCCCTCAATCCATCTCTCTTGCCCTGCTTGCGCACTTGATTGCTTGCCTTGCGTTCATGCATCGTGCCCTCCCCTCGGAGCTCTGTCCCCATCCTCATCTTTGCCTAGCTTCGCCCCCCTCGCTCCTTAACGTTTCTATTTAGTATTTGTTTTTTTTCCTTAGCTCTCTCTAATCCATCGTAACTCCCCATTAAAATCTCTCTTTTAATAATGATTAGGATCCTTTGCACAAACACTGCCATGAACACCTTAGCTCAAGATCTGTTTGCTGCTCTTGACAACCCAGTGCTCAACAGCAACTGGAGCGTCTCCAAGTATCATCCATTGGAAATGGTGTTGATGGCCAAGGCGGATTTGGCAACTGTCCAAAGATTCTATGATCAGCAAAGCACACAGTCAATCATCGGTGGAATCAAACGAAAGCACAATGCCATGTCTTGATTACCAAGAAATATGTGGATTGTCTTGGAAATATGGTATGTTGTTGGCTGCTGGAATGTTGGTAGCTCATATTTATTAAATACAGTATTTTTTTGAAACTGCATAGCCAAGTTGCCGACTGCATTAATAGTCTCTACTAGGTAGCTTTTTAACCTCGGCAATCATGGTTGGGAGGTGTAGCATTTCAATTCTTCTGTTACCGATCATCTACTCTAGCTAGATAGCTCTACTGCTCCTTCATCCCTACTATATCTCTGTATGTATCATTGTGTTCAACCGGCATTTGGCCAGTTATCAGTTTAGTATGGTAGGACCAGTCCAGGTGTGTTTTGGGCCTAAAAGTTGTTCCCTGAGATCTACATCGATGTTGGACTGGCCAGGTCCTGGCTCTTGCTTGCCGCATGATGCTTTTGTATACTCTAGCTAGCCAGCGAAGGATCCAATACGACCTATTGCTCCTAGCCAGCACCCATCACCATGGCAGCGGCAGTGCTTGCTGTAGCAGTACTGGTACGCCTACCACTACAGCAAAAAGCTAGCAGTTAAACTGGCTTATTTTAAAAGCACGAAGATCGAGCCAGCTTGCAAGCTACTAAAGGGGCCGAGCGATACATTATGTTCGGTCAAATTTAGCCACCGCTGATTCTATTTATTATTTTTTTTCTCCCCCTGCTACTCCGACGAATAAGTTGAGAATTCTCAAGTTTTGTACAGGCTGACTTCAATTTGCGAAACACAACAAGACCTGTCTGTACACCTTCGCTTTTAGATATGTTTACCTGGATTTTAAGATCACTCCGGTCCTGCCAGGACTGAATTTCTAGCCTAACCCTAAGGATCAATGTAAAAGATTTAAACAGAAGAAAAAAGACTTAAAAGAGTCTACATTATCCTCAACCCTACCGAAACTACCATCCAGATGTTGCCGTTGTTGGTTGTCTTTCACATGCCAAAAAGCAACACAATGTTGATGTGGAAGCCACAGGATGAACTCAACCAATATGGCACTTACAAAACCAAAGTAACTATGTAAAGCTGTCTATATTCTTTGCTTGTCACAGCCATGTGCTGGTTGTAGTGGTGACAGCCATGTAGAAGGCATTATCTTATGTCAAACCAGACGCTTCATCCTTTTTCCAAATATGAACAAGTTGAAGCTTCAGTGGAGCCTCTTTCACAGAGCGACCATGATGACTCTACCACTCTACCATACCGCACCACCAGCATCCCTATCAATAACAGCAATGGCGCCGGTTGACTCTTCTTCCATTTTGACGACGGCCTTTGTTGGCGGTTTGACAACGGATCTTTCGGTCGACTTTCGGTCGATCTTTCGGTCGATCTTTCCGGTTGATGTTCGACGTCAGAGATGGCTGGCTCCAGCAACTTTGTTGTCTCCATGCTTCCTTGACAACATAGGTGTACACATGACTACAACCGTTGGGCTCAGTTAGACTAGAATTGGGGTGTAAAATCAGCTGGAGACCGGTGGCAGCAATACTAAAAGGCAAAATTGAGTTCCCCAGTTTGCTAGTCATTCGTTACTTCCACGGTCACCAAATGGGTAAGCCATTACTGCCACTGCGACCGCCACATCCAAATTATGTATTCCCTATCTCAAAGTATTGCTAGGGCGACTCTATTGGTTAAACTGCTAGGGTATCTTAGACAGCCATTGTGGTGTGTTTGTTGATGAGGATGTGCCCAACCTGGAACAAGTAGATAATTTCAAAGTGTGGTGACCTGGTGATTCCACAGTGTTCCAGGCGAATTCTCACCATTTTCAAAATTCTCAACTAAATCGGCCGAGTAGCCTGATTATCCATTGTTTCCTCTGCACCCAACACTGCCATGGACCCTTCAGCCCTCTTTGCTGCTCTTGATAGCCCAGTGCCCACCAGCACCTGGAATTTTTCCAAGAAACAGGCATTGGAAATTGCATTGATGTCAAAGGCGGATTTGGAAACTGTCCAAAGATTCTATGAACTCTACCCAGATGCGTTGACCAAACAACTCTTTTACAATGTCCTCAAATGTGGAGCCAAGCCAGGAGTGGTTGGCTTTCTTGCCACTAAACGTCCTGAATTGGTGGATAAGAAGGCCTTTGGATTTGCAACGGTTCAAGGACCAGGACCAGATAGACCCACTGAAAGTGAAATCATCACCTTCGCCATCAATCCAGAGCTGTTGGTGCCGACAGGAACAAATTTATGCATTCCACATTCTTTGCGTTTAGTCCTAAACTGGAAATATAGCCGATGATTGACTCAAACTCTCTTCAAAATTCTTGTGGGCGAGATACCATCAGCGCTTCAGCTGTGGTTGCCCCAAAACGTGATTTTTGATGTATCCAGTCATCATCCCTGGGTTGTCACCAATGAAAACTCCACCACAAAACGGACAGCACTTGATATGGAGGCAGTGATGGGCATGACACCAGTGCTGGACAGTAAGAACACCCAAAATGTCGTGAATTGGTGTACCACATGGGCACTGGATGCCTTTTTGGAATTTGTCCGTCGTCTACTTTCCAACCAGAGTATAAGGGATCTAATTCTTTGCTTCCCAGAAGTCTCACCAGAAGAAGAACAACAAGGGAAGTCCATGTGGTTCAACACAGATGCATTCAAGGAGGTGCTGTCACAGTGCAAGATCAATCATGCGGGATTGCTTTTGGAACAAAACAATCCTTTGTCTGTTGGCTTCCTGGAGAATTGCCTCGGAAGCATGCCCTGCCTGAAGCAACTGGAACTCTATCAAAATACTGACATTGCTCTTGCTTCAGCAACACCAACAATCAGCCATCTCCTCAGTCACAACTCTCTGTTGGAGGTCTTAACTATTTGTGCAGAAAGTGACACAACCAAGATGGGGCTGGATCCGATTCTCAATTCACTGACAATCAATCATACACTTCGAGAATTTCACTACAAACAAAGGCATGCTGTTTCGGACAAGTTCACAGGATACCATGAGGTTCTAGTCAACCTTCTCTGCAAGCACAATACTACTCTTGAGACCGTCGGCTTCACTGATGGCTGCAGCAACGAAAATCGGGGTGGCAACCTCTGCAGCAAACTCCATCCCAGTGAAGACTTGGTTGCTTTTTACACGGCTATCAACCGTCTTGGCCGCAAGAAAGCACAGGACCCGGAAACCAACAAGGCTGAGTTTGTTCATCTGCTGGGCAAAGTCCAAGAAGATGCACTTAAACTGGGAGCATCTAATTCGCAATGCCTTGCCTGTGCGGATGATAAATTCAACATTCTCTATGGGCTGTTGCATGAGAATCCAGCCAAATGGAGCCACCAAACAAGCAACAACCATCACCAGCAAAGCACACAGTCAATTGATTATGGAAGCAAACGAAAGCACAGCGCCTTGTCTTGATCACTGGCCCGATTGTCGTTGCTATATGCCATCTATCTTTTTCGTTGGCCGTTGGAATGATGATGGTAGCTCATACTTATGCATATTTCTAACGACACATTATGGTTTTGACTGAAGTGTGCGTACTATTTTAGCCAATTTGCTGACTGCATTATTAGTCTTTAGGTACCGGTAGCTGGCTGTTTACATTACATGACAATCACGGTTGACCAGAGGTGTAGCATTCCCATTCTCCCGTATCTAATCCACTACCGTACTGTAGCTAATAGGTCCCTCCTTGTTCAACGGGCATCTGGCCCGGTTATTTGTTTGATACGACCAGTCCAGGTGTGTTTTGGTCCTGGGAGTTGGTCCCGGAGATCCACATTGCATGTTGGATGGGCCAGGTCCTGGCTCTTGCTTGCCGCAGGATGCTTTCGTACTCTTCTGTCTAGCCAGCGGAGGAGAATGATCAATCCAATACTCGCTAGCTAGCTAGCTAGCTAGCTAGATAGCCATCTCCCGTCCTCATTGGTAATGGCAGCATTGCTTGCTCTGGCTGTGCTACTAATATGATCGTCTAGTAGCCAATACACAGTTGCTGGTACGGCAGCTATCATACGGTAGCTCGGCCACATGCATGCTACCGATAGGGTTCGTAGATTCGTAGTTTTACGAGAACAGTACCACCCGGGTTTCTGGAATTAGGTTGCCGGGACTTCTAATTCCTGATTTAATGTGCCAGAAGACAGCGTTTCAAGGGTAGCTTAGGTAATTATAGAGTTAAGCGAAGTTATACTTGTTATTACTCTTTTACATCTGAAAGAAAAACAACTACTGTATTATTACCGCATCTACCTGCTGGTATCCAACAGAGCAGTTCTGTCTGCGAATGTGTTTGGGTTTGGGTGTCGGCCAGCCGAGCTGTTTTCTGTTAAATCTTTCAAATGAGGCGCGCATTGGTTTCTGAGGAGAAGAAACCAATGCTGGAGATCGGTTTTGGTTGGTGGATTGATCGAGCCATGTTTGCGTTGCTGTTGGCAAACTGTTGCCGGACACGTACGACGGCCATTGACAAGACCACATTTACTTTGTCCATCTGATTCTGTTGGAGAGTTGGTAGTACAGAAGTTGTCTGACCATGACGATGAAGTTGATCAGTAGCGCCTTGGTGGCTGCCTTGTGGAGTAGTGACAGTATCGGTGTGACTGCATGGACATCTTCCTCTGTGAACTTTCATCGATTGGCCCATCCTCCTTCTATTACTGCTAGTATTGCTAGTACCGGTAGTAGAGGAATCACGGCTCTTTCAGTTTCTTCCATTCCAGCCTCCACGACCAACAGTACTCTAGATGATGGTGATCAGAAGCAGAAGCAGCAGTCGATTCGTATGGAAAAGAAAGTAGAAAAAGTAGTGGATGAAGTAGTGGATGTAGTAGAAGAAGTAGAGGAGAAGAAAAAGTCTCTTCCTCCTTTAAGTGCCGAAAATGCTTGGGTTGGCAAGTTGGACTACGAAGGCTTTGCTCGTGAAGTGAATGCATTGGGCAAAGACTTATTGAAAGAAACAACACCAGAAGAGAATGTGGCTCATTTGCACAAGATGCTGCGTTGGCAAAATGCCTTGGCGTTTGTAGGAGTCATGACATTGTGGATGTCGCCCAATCCCTTTACTGTCATTGCGCTCTCGACCTGGCAATTCTCCAGTTGGCTCATGATTGCTCATCACACCCAACATGGCGGATACAATCGATTTCAACCCATGGCGGGCAAATTCCACAGTCGCGTCTTTGCCGTGGGCACACTCAAGCGTCGCGTCCTCGATTGGTTAGACTGGATTCAACCCGAAGCATGGAACTTGGAACACAATCGATTGCATCATTACCGACTCAATGAACTCGCCGATCCCGATTATACGCAACGTAATTCCGAACTCATTCGAGGAGATACTCTTCCCAAACCAGCCAAGTATTTGGGCGCCCTCTTTTTGATGACGACGTGGAGATGGTCTTACTATGCGTCCAATACGTACAAGGAACTCAAACTGGCCGAACATCGTGCACTTGGCGACAAACCACTTCCGCCTGGAGTGCGACCCACCGATTGTATCACACTCACGTCCATGCTATTTCCATCCAATGACAATGAACGTGCCATGGTGAAATTCCTCAATCGAGGAAAATTCTTTACGCATGTCTTGGGACCCTTCTTTCTACTACGATTTGTGTTATTGCCATTGCCATTGCTGGCGTTCATTGGTGGACCTACATTGGTCATGAATGCAATCATCAATTTGTGTCTGGCCGAATTACTGACGAATGTTCATTCCTTCATGACGGTCGTGACCAATCATGCCGGAGATGATCTCTACAATTTTGATGATGCCGTCAAACCAAAGACACCCTCTTTTTATGTCCGACAAGTGGTCGGATCGACCAATATGAATTACGGCAATGATTTTGTCGACTTTTGGCATGGATTTCTCAATTATCAAATTGAACATCATGGTACGTGTTCTACATATATCTGGTCTTGTCTGGTCTTGTCTATCTATACATACTCTATGATCCATCACTAACTTGTCATTTCCATTCATTTCATACTATAGTCTGGCCCGACTATTCCATGCTACAGTTGCAACGAGGAGCGCCACGGCTCAAGGCTATTTGTGAAAAGTATGGAGTGCCGTATGCACAAGATAATACGTTTGTCAGGACCAAGAAAACGGTGGATATTGTGCTGGGAAAGACGTCCATGAGAGAGTTTCCCACGGAATATGAACCCGCAAGAGATAAAGATTTGACCAAGACGGACTAATATACATATAGAGAGCTCCAGTGAATGCAATGAAGACATTCGCAGAGGAGAGACGAAAGATAGGAAGTTAAGATAGCAATTTTTGGAAACGTTTTCCTAATCTGTTGGCTGTATCAGTTGCTTGGCTTCTGTTGTGGTTCCAAGGGCAAGCATGGCGAGGGACTTCTTTGCAGAGCTCTTCGGTTTATATATATTAGTTTTCTAACTAGCTAGCATATCCTTCTACCTTGTGCATACATAGCAAGCATGTCACCACTTGCTCAGCAATCCACCACACTTCTCAAGATGTCACTGTGTTGATAAAAGGCATCAGGTGTCTTTCTCCTCTTCCGGCTTCCAAGGACAGGGCTAGTGCCGTGGTATTCTTCCGTGAGATCAGAAATGGTGCTGGATCCTGTAGTAGATGTCACATCCTCTTCCGGCTCAAAGTTTTTGCTGAGGAGAATCACACTCACATTCTTGACCTTGAAGCATGGCAAGCAAGGCTCTGGTAATTCCTTGCCGCCCAATAGGTAATGATACACCCCCATGTTCACGGTATCCATAAAACTGCTTTTCTCAAAACAAGGAAACACATCCGTGATCGTCTGCTTGGATTGAAAGTTGAAGCTGTTGTGAGTAAAGAAGGAAAAGACCTTGTCCAGACCCGTGGAAACCTTGTCGAGGGACTTGGCAGCCTTTTGTTTTCCAAACAGCTTGGCCATTCTCTTGAGCCTGATGACTTTGCGTTTGTCCTTTTGGAAGGATTTGGCAATCTGTGGGTTGGTGCTCTCGGCCATGACGCGAATGTACGGACGTTGCTGGGTATGACGTTGCCGGAGCTTGAAAAACCTAGAAAACTGGGCCACAATCTCGCCGACCGTGAGGGAGTGCTCTTGACCAGCCGTGTCATGGATCACTACTGCCTGACTTGTTCGATCCATCGGCGCCAATGCTCCGTGAATGAGACGTTCCGCAACACAGTCGCAAGGAACCACATCGAGCTGTACGTCCGCTTTGGCAGGGATCGTGTGTAAGAAACCGGTTCCATACATTGCAATGAAAGCCGCAAGGGCAGCACGGGAGTCTATCCAGCCAGGGTGGGGGAATTGATAGCAGGCAGTGACAATGGAAGGGCGGACAATAACCAAGGGCACCCGTCCCCTCTGTTCCACGAGGAGGGACTCTGTCAGTGCCTTGGTGAAGTTGTACGTGTTTGGGTATAACCAGATTCCTGCAACATTCTGTTTTCTTCTTCCGTGGTTACACCACGCTTGATTGCTTTGTATATCTGGCCGGCTTTCCCGTTGGCAAAGCTGTCCACATGGTCTTCGTTGATGGCACCATTGCCTTCCTTTGGTAGCATGGTATAGGCGGTACTGCAATGGACAAAGCTCTCTAGTCCTTCGCATTCCTTGGCCAGAGCAAGAATATTATGAGCTGACGTAACATTGGAGTTGGCAGCTTGTTGCACGGGCAAGTCAAAATCAATGCTAGCTGCCATCGATATGATCTGTGTCACTTTAGAGGTCAACATGTAGACAGCGTCCAAGTCTAGTCCGAGCCCTGGCTGGGTGACATCCCCAGAAACCCATTGTACACGGCCTTGCTGAAATGCAGTCTGTACATTGTTGAAGCTGTTGGAACGCCAAGAATCGCTCCTTCGGTGCTTTGCCCCTCTTTGGTCGGATGAGCAGAAAGACGGTTTGAACCTCTGTCGTGGCTAATAGTCTATCAACGACGACTTTCCCAATGAAACCAGTTCCTCCGATGAGAAGAATGGAAGAGTGCTTGCTTTGATTGTTGGATGTCATTTTTGCTGTTTGCAATTTTGCTCGAGCCGTTCCTTGGACGTCGAGTGACTGGCTGCTTCACTGGAGATCTTCACTCCCACACTCACCCTCATAGTGATTTCGAGCTGCGCTTTCAGCTGAACCAAAAACCCGAGGGAGCTGACACTGGACGACCAAAAGAGCCAAGCGGCAAAGATCGTTTACTCTACTTCGCAAGCTTGGTTCGACCGGCCAGTAGGATTTGCTTTGCTGGCTGCTACGCCATCAGAGCCGTTCCTTGCCTCTGTGCTACGGTACCGACAACGATGAAATCTTTCTGTTCGAGAGGGTTGCTTGCGTTCTAGCTAGAATCTCACCAATCTCCTCGTTTCAGTGGAGAATCAATGCACGACGTACTATGCTGGCGAGCTGATGTTGGGTTATTTTTGCTAACAAGAAATAATTCGTCCAGTTGACAAGTCAATTCACTATGCACTATGTGAAAAAGTTTGATGGGAAAGTGAACTTCTGGGCACTTCCTCCATCGCAGCTGGAAACAATCAGATTGTTTGTGGGGTCAGCACTCGCTGTGTCCACATGCAAGCATCCATCATCAACTCCGCTTTGAATGGTGTCGCCGTTGCTTCCTAGATACCATCTCTGGCTTGGTCCCCCATGACAGTCGTTTACCTCCACATCTCCTTTGCTCCCATACGCCAAACAGCGTTCATCGTGCAGACTTATAATAGCTCCAGTGCAGGGATCATACTGCCAGCGCTGATTTGTTTTCGCCAGTGTGCCGACACATTGGAATAGATAGACTGTAGGATACCGTCCAGTTCCATCATCATTGAAATAGTAGTCAAGACAGAAATTGGACAAAATTGCTGAGCTCGCTTTGATATCTCCTGTTACACCCGATGGAACAGCCACAGGCGCACATGTTGGAAACATCGATGGCGTCTCTGATGGTGAAACTGATGGGCTTGACGATGGACGGTTGCTGAGAATCATTGACGGGGACACGGAAGGAAAAGTAGAGGGTGAGTTAGATGGATCCATGCTGGGCATTCCTGAAGGAGATTCAGAGGGATTGGAGCTCGGAACCATCGAAGGCGAGGCTGACGGACTTGAGCTGGGAGCTGTTTGTGCTCCCTGGGCGTGACATTTTGCAAAATTGAAAGTAGTAGTCCCAAAGTCCCTAAAGTAGGGACACAAGGAATAACCAGCCGGCCTGCATGCCCAAAAAGATCCACCATAGGTGATTTTGGCGCTTGGGTCGCCCCCTGAGCCACTATTTCCCACCCAACGACAGTAGTCTTGACAGCACCCGTCATTATTCATTGAATACCAGCCACGGTATGAATCTGAATGACCACCATCATTATTGGAATTGTTTGGGGCTGCGCAACTACCATCAGTAGGTGCTGGTAACTGGGAGCAAGACGCACTTGGAGCACTGGATGGTACCTCTGATGGTGCCAACGATGGTTGCTCTGACGGGAACACTGAGGGTGTCTTGGATGGTGATTCTGTAGGTGGGCCATTAATAGTTCCTAGACCAAAAAAATCTATGGGTACCATGAATTGCTGGCCATTTTTTGAATCACAGCCAACCATTATCAAGTTGCTGGTAACCGAGTCATATGCCAAGCACTTCGCATCATCATAGTACGTCTGGAGTTCACCCTGGCTTGTCATGAACCATCTCTGGTTGTCAAGCCCGTGGCAGTCACCATGAATGATAACATTGCCGTTGACATAACTATAATCCAAACAGCCTCCTGTATGGAGCACTCGGATGGTTTCAGTGCAGGGATCATACTGAAAGTTTTGGTTTGACCCGCCATTGCAGGTTGCAGCATAGATGTTGCCATAGGTTCCATAGGGTCCACTTTGTGTAAGGTACATGTCCATGCATTTCCCCGGTTGGAGGACTTTAATTGCTCCAAACACTTCTCCAGATCCACCAAGGGATAGCGGTGGGCAAGAGGGAGAACTGCTCGGCCTAGATGATGGCAGGTTCGAGGGACTGTGGCTGGGAACGGGACTGCGACTAGGAACAGCAGAAGGCAGCGTTGATGGTGAAACTGACGGAAGTGCTGATGGCAGTGTTGAAGGGCCAATGCTGGGGTAGGCTGATGGGTCCACTGATGGACTCATGCTGGGTTGTTCAGAAGGCCTGTTAGATGGGCTGCTGCTGGGGGTCGCGGATGGAATGTCTGATGGGGAGGTAGAGGGACTAGTTGAGGGGCCCACACTAGTGCTTGGGTTTGAAGATGGTTCTATGGATGGGTTGGTACTTGGATTGGTGGAGGGTAATTTGGATGGGATCCCTGAGGGTGCATTGCTGGGTATTGAACTTCCAGAAGGGTTGTAAGAGGGGACGGCTGATGGGCCCACACTGGGAGTCATGGATGGTGATTCAGAAGGGAGCCCAGATGGTTCATTACTGGGGGCTGAGCTAGTGGTAGGAACCTCAGAGGGTAAGCCTGAAGGGCTACTGCTTGGGATTGATGATGGTTCCACAGATGGGGTCTTGCTGGGAGGTGTTGATGGACTATCTGATGGACTGAAGCTTGGACTCATCAAAGGCATATTTGAGGGGCCCATAGAAGGTAAACCTGAAGGGCTACTGCTTGGGATTAATGATGGTCGCATTGATGGACTTCCACTAGGAGATGCGGATGGGCCACCACTTGGGGACGTGGAAGGCCATCTAGATGGAGTTCCTGAAGGTGCATCACTGGGAGCTGAGCTGAAGGATGGAGACACAGATGGCATGTCCGAGGGAGCAATAGATGGGGCATAAGAAGGATTTTCCGATGGATGTATTGATGGCTCGGATGATGGTTTTAAGGAGGGCTGTAAAGATGGGGATTTTGAGGGAGACACAGAAAATGATGGTTCCATCGATGGAGTGAGTGATGGCTGAGAGCTTGGTAGACTGGATGGTGATATGGATACTGTAGGTGCTGTAGATGGCATTTTCGATGGGCTTTGGGTTGGTGCCCCCGGCGTCACAGTTGGACGCTGAGAAGGTGATCCAGAGGGTTCTCTGGATGGTATAGAAGAAGGGCTCAAGGATGGTACAACTGAAGGATTGGTTGATGGCATTCCGGAGTCAGAACTGGTAGGTGGCCCAGATGGTGATTCCGATGGTACCCCAGAAGGGAACATGGAAGTGCTGGGTGTTGCAGATGGGATTTTTGTGGGGTTCTTGGTGGGATTTCCAGGTTTAACTGAAGGGTTGAAGGATGGAGCAGAAGAAGGCATAGCTGATGGGGTGCCAGATGGAGCCAAAGAGGGAACCACAGAGGGTTGCCTGCTTGGTGTTCCGGAAGGAGAAGCCAAGGAGTTTGGCATCGGAGATGGGTTCTTTGTAGGGTTTTGATTGCCAGGCGATACTGATGGATTGGAAGAGGGGGAAAAAGAAGGGCTAGCTGTTGGTGTAGCAGATGGTTTGCCAGAAGGAAACGAAGAGGGGCTTGATGAAGGTGCAGGCGTCACACTAGATATGGCGGTTGCTGCATTAGTTGTGCTGCCCAATGCTGCATTGAAAGCTCCAAGGAATGTAACAGAGAATCACATGAAGCAACTTCTCGAAGCAGGCGACTTGGTGCCAACAGCATAAAGTACACCTGAATTTGTTGCCTGCAATCTTCTTCCCGATCCTTTGCTTTCAACAGTAACAGTATTGAGTATTGGAGAACAGGTGTCCTTGGGTACAGAATCGTAGCCTAGCTCAAAGGCACGGATCAGTGTTGCATTCTCGATCGCTGCCGCAGATTCAGCGAATGTGACAAGGTATTCAAGCTGCATCGGAATGAATGTTAATGCACAGTCTTGGGTCGGAATCACTCATAAGAATGGAACTTGAACTAGTCGGGCGAACTGAGGGGTTCAGGAGTAACAGTTTGCTAGTTGTGGGATCCCAGTAGTTGGACTGACGCTGGGAAAGCCGGGATTACAGTAGGGACCGACCAACTGGGCTGGCATTGGGGAGTCAAGGAGGGCTTCCAGTGTCACAGTCGGCAATCTTGGGAGTAGCAGGTAGTTGGACTTGCTGGGAAGCCGGGGGTTACAGGGACAGAACCAACGAATCCGAAGTGTTGGCCAAGGATGGGCTTCCTGGTGTCACTGTGGGTAACCTAGTGGTAGATAATGGTAGTTGCTGACACTGGAACGCAGCTTCATACTAGTGGTATTTGACCAACCGCTGGCATTGGTGGGAGTCAAGGATGGGCTTCCAGTGTGCCCGGTCGGTAACCGGTTGTGGCAGTAGCGGTAGTTGGACTGACACTGGGAGAGCCAGGGTTACAGTGAACAGAACCAACTGGACAGTGTCCAGGATGGGCCGGTACGTTGGACCAGTGGTGGTGATAGGGAGTTGACCGACACTGGGAACCGGGTTACAGGGGTAAACCAACTGGATGCAGTGGGGTCAAGGATGCTTCCATGTGTCACGTCGGTAAAGCCGTTGTGGCAGTACGGTAGTGGACTGACACTGGGAGAGCCAGGGGTTACAGTGGGGACAGAACCAACTGGATTCGAATGGGGCCAAGGTGGCTTCCCGTACTGTTGGCAACCCAGTGGTGGAGTAGCGGTAGTTGGACCGACACTGGGAGAGCCGGGAGTACAGTGGGGAAGAACCAACTGGACCCGGTACGTTGGCACGTGGGTCTGGCGACACTGAGCGGGATCAGGGACAGAACCACCGATTCAAAGTGGTGGCCTGGGCTCTGCAAGGAACGTGGGAGGGTGGACCACTGACCGGAGTTGGTAACCAATTATCAAGGCCGATGTTCCTGGTTTCACTGGGTAACCTAGTGTGGAGTAGAAGTATGGACTGACACGGGAGAACCAGGGTGTTACATGATGGGGGAAGATACAATGATCGTAAGTGGTGGATGCCAACAGATGCGTGGGCTGTGCCATGTGTGGAGTATAGTGACGCACGGGAGACAGGGTCACAGTGGGGATACGAACCAACTGGATTCGAAGTGGTGGGTGCCAAGATGGGCTTCCTGGTGTCACGGTTGGTAACCTCGGTGGAGTAATGGTAGTTGGACGACACTGGGAAGCCGGGTTACAGTGGGACAGAACCATGGATCGAAGTGGTGGGTGCCAGGAGGGCTTCCGCAGTGGACCAGTTGGAGTTAGATTGACTAGCAGGTAAGCCGGGATTACAGTGGGTAGAACCAACTGGAACGAGGTGTGGGCCAAGGATGGGCTTCCTGGTGCACTGTGTATTGCGTTTGGGAGTAGCGTAGTTGGACACTGGGAAGCCAGTGTACACAGGGGGACAACATGATTGAATGGGTGCAGATGGCTCCTGTGCATGGAACCTAGTGTGGGTGAAGTTGGACTGACCATGGAGGGGTTTACAGGGGGGAAGAAACATGGATTCGGGGGGTGCGAGGAGGCTTCCTGTCACCGTTGGTAACCAGTGTGGAACGGTAGTTGGCTACACTGAGAGCGGGAGTACATGATTGAACGACTGACGAGCGTTGTGGTACAAGAGCTTCCTGGTCACCGTCGGTAACCTAGTGTGGGATTGCAGGTTGACCACTGGGAAGCAGGTTACAGTGGGACGAATCAACGGATCGAAGTGGGTGCAAGGATGGGCTTCCTGGTGTCACAGTCGGAATTGAGGTTGTGGGATTGGCTGCAGTTGGACTAACACTGGGGGAGCCAGGAGTCACAGTCGGACCGATGGTAGATGGTGCAACAGATGGGGAACCAGGAGTTCCTGTGGGTGTTCCTGTTGCCGAGCTATCATCTGGGGGGGTGTCAATAGTGGGAATGGCACTTGGACTGATCGTTGTTCGCCCTATAGGTGGATTGAAACTTGGCACACTGGTTGCATCGGCTGTTGCACCGTGGCCGTGGGCTTGGTTCAGGTGATGGCTCTGGTGTGGCTCGGAGTGGTTCAGGTGATGGCTCTGTGTGGGCTCTGGAGTTTTGGATGATGGTTCTAAAGTCACTTGAGGTTCAGCTTCTTGCATGGATGGCGGGGTGTTTTCTGAGGTTCCTTCAGATGTGGAATCTGCAGACGGCAACTGAGTTGACCCTAGCACCATAGTTGGACTGGATGTTGGCGCAAGGCCATTTGTTGGAGATTGTGTAGATGGTCTCCTTGATGTGCTTTGTGGTGCCATAGATCATGTAGAGTCACTGGTAGGGTTGTTTGGAGCTGTTGGATTTTCACTTGTGGGGATGACAACTGTGGGGCTCACATGGGTACTGCTACTGTTTGGAGCCCCTGTGAGGGTGCTGCTACTGGTTGGAGCAGAAATGCCAGTGTTGACCACGATAGGGGAACTGCCAATAGCAGTTGGAGAGTCAGCAATTGGATTAGATGGAATGCCAGCAGACATTGGTGACCCCGCAGCTGTTGGGCTCTTCATGGATGGACTTGGGTTGTTAATGGAAGGGGCTGCTGCAAGCCCTTCACCACCTGTATCAGCAGTTGGGTTCCCTCTGTCAGCATAGGTTGAATCTGTAGGTGTTGTGCTAGGAGTATTTTGAGTGGAGGGAGAGCCATTGAAAACAGGGGATGCAGTACCAGCATGAACTGTCAATACCGATGGAGGCGGTGCAACATTGGGAGCCATGGGTTTCTCCTCAGAAGGGGTACTATGAGGGGGCGACCCAGAGGCTGATAGCAAAGGATATGGTTGCATAGTGGGCGCAGCTCCGTAGGTGGGGCTGGCTGCCTCTGAGGGCTGTTTCGGAGCTTGACCTGCTGCATCAAAGTTTGGGTTGGCAGGTGCACTCATGGATGGCAAACCACCAGCTTCTGTGACAAGAGTAGCAACTGGTGAAGGATCACCTTCTGTGCTAGGGTTGGATGGACTTGATGCATCTATGACTTCGGTGGGACTGGCATTGGAAGAAGTGTGCTGTCCAGAAATAGGAGCAGCTGCGGGTGTTGCTGCATCTGTTCCAGGATTGAGTGGTGTTGGGTTCTGCACAGTCGGTGATGTGGGTGCACTTGCCATAGAGTCTAGTTGTTCGGCGTCAGGAGGATTCGCCACATCCACAGCTGTTGGCGATGCACCTAGACCAGACCCACCATCTTCATCGCCAGGATCACCGGTTGAATCAGAAGATACTTCCAAGAGTAAGCCTGGCAATAGCCTTTGACACTCCTCAGAAGAAGTTGGATTATTGGCACAATCCAGAACAGTCTCAGGCTCCACACCAGCGGCTTCAGCTACTTCCATGATTGTGTCACAAAACCGTGACTCTGACGAGGCACCTCCGTCTACATCCCCTGATCCATTCTCGAGACAACCTTCAATATCTGATAGACGATCACTCACAAATGGTGCCACTGGAGTCCCTCCATTGTCCTCCACCTCTATTGAAGTACCTTGAATTGCATCAAGTGTCACAACGAGTACAACTTCCCCTTCTTCGACAGCCCCATCAGCTTGTACTGCTGTGGCTCTGCCAGCAACCACTTTGATTTCTTGTTGGTCATAGTCTGTGACAATGGTCACATTTACTGGAATGATACCATTGGCCTGTAGATAAGGTGCTAGGTTGTAGCTGAAGGATGCGGCAAACAGAGCAAAGAACTCTCTCAAATCAAATTGTCGGAGGAATCGCCGTTGACGGTTGGCTTGTAGCTGTCTGGTTGGATTGGCTGACAACAATGTGTCATCCTCCACATCAAACAAGGGTTCATGGTCTGGACATCCCACACATTGGAGCTTGGCTTCCCAGTAGGTCGTAGTGATGGATTGTGCCACTGCGGCTTCATACTCGTCGACAGTGACATTGGTAACATTGGTTGCATTGGTAACATAGTCATAGTTGGTACTGTTCCCCCAATCAGTCTCCCACCGAGTGATGTTGGCAGAGTGCATGATTCTCGACATAGGATCTAGGCACATTCCCGATATTTCATTGTAGACATCTCGAAACAGTTCCTCCAGAATATGCTTGTGCTGTGGAAGGGCTTGTGGAGGTAGTGCTTGGATATTGAGTTCCACAAATCCAATCTTTTCCTCGGCCAAGTTGGCGTCAGCACAGGTAGGCGGAGTGAAAACATCTGATGTAGGATCATACCCAATGGACACATTTCCTGGTGTGGCAGCGGGCCCTGTTTGACTAGAACTGACACCAAATCCTGTGGAAACTGCAGCCGCAGAGACTGCTGCCACTCCCACCACGACTCCGGCTTGGGTTGCCACACTGGCCCCGGCAATAGCAGCGGCAATCGTCCCAGTGATTCCTGATACAGTGACTGCAGAGGCAGCCGTGACAGTGGCAGCCCCAGTGGCAGCACTGCCTACAGCAGAATTAGCAGCAGCAGAGGCCATTTCTGCTACACCTGGGGGGACCGCTACCATGCCACCACCTCCTCCGCCGCCGCCACCACCACTCGATCCAGATGCGTTGCCTTGTGCATTGGTAGGTCTCTGTGTGTTGCCTGTTATGTCGTTGTTGTCGGCCAGGTCATTGACCAGATCTTGGTTGTCATCATTGTCTCTGCCGTTCTTCTTACCACCACATTTATCAAAGCACCTGGAGAGGTAGCTGGAAACTTTAATGTAGGCTGCGAAACCATACTTCATGGCTTGCTGCATAATGACCCAGAAGATGATTCCAGATAGAATGGCTCTTTCTTTTTCATGTGCCCAATCCTCGGAGTCGACACTGTCCGCAACAACGGATGAAGAGCAATGACTCTTTGCGTCTTCTTGGCTCTCTTCTTCTTCTTCAGCAATATCGTTCATAGAGATATCTTCTAGTTGGGCATCCGTCGCCCGGCCTTTTTGATGGCTCGAGTACTGCTTCCAGGCATAACGAAAGTCGAGAGCATCCTCGTCGTCTTCCTGGAAATCTTCTTGTTGGCGCTGACTCTCTAGATTGTTCAAGAGCTGTGTGGTGTAGTTGAGAAGGCGACTGTGGTCGTCGTCAGGATTCTCACCCATGAAGGTTGCGTAAGTCTCACGCTGTGAATCATCATCAGTGTTGGGAGACATGCCACAGCTGTTGGCATTATCAGTTTTAGTTGGCATGGTCTTATTGTTCATTCTCTACGATATAATAGACAGGAGCTGGATTGTAGACGACGGGAATAGTAACAATTGCTAACGAAAGTTCTTGGAGCTTGGACGATGGACTCATGAACCTTCTATCTCTAATAGACTCGAAGGGGATGTTTAGAAGACGCCAATGGAAATGACCCAGGTTGGAGATGACATACCGGTACTAGTAGTTCGCATCCTGCTGTGGGGTAAACCGCCAGCAGCCGGTTGGTCACCCAAGCTTTATGCTGGAACTAGACTAGCTAGTACCAGTACTCCAGTACTTGACTGTTGAAGAGAAATGACCTTCGGGTTCACGAGCTTTATTGGGGGTTTCTTCTGGCTGTTCGTGGAAGGTCATTAGAGAGTCTTTGTCAGTTCATCCTTCCCAGAAGTTGCAAAAGGGGAAGTGGCCTTTAAAGCTTCTTCAACAGTGACATTTTCCACTGACGAGTTGGTGGGCACAAAAAGAAGCCTTTCACAGAATACTTTTACCGTACGACTGGAAAATATTTTAAAATAGGCGGAGACGAGCCCTTCGAATGAGTCTACAAATAGCGGTACCAAGAAGTAACTATAAGACGGGTTGACTGGCCAATTGCAATATTTTGTCCTGCCACTCCTCACAGATCATCGCGTGCGTTTCGGGCTGTGACTGTGATATCGTTTGGAAGAATGTTCTGCAGTCCTCGGTGGTCCGGGGTGCGAGGGTGCAACACCCTGCTTTCTCGATTCATCGTTTTCGTTGCTGGTTTTGAGCTTCAAATCCACGTCATTGCTCGAATCTGCTACTGCCTGTTTGCTGTTCAACACACTGGATATTCGTTTACGATTCTGCAAAATCGAAGGGTGACTCGAGCGGAGACACATCTCTCTGATCTTCAATGCAAGTTGGTATTCTGCCAAGGCTGCATCGTGATCGCCCTTGGCGTGCAAAATCCTGCCGAGGTTGTCATGCAACTGCGCCGTGTCCACATGTTCCGCTCCCACCAAGGATTCCTTCAGTTCCAGTAGCTCTCTGAATCGCTCCAAGGCTGCGTCGCACTCGCCGTCAGCTTCCAGAGATTCGGCCCGAATTTCTACAATAGCCATCGCATAACCGTACTCTGCTTCGGCAGCATCGGTGTTGCCCAGGGCGTTGGCAACGAACCCTACAGACATGTGAGCCAGTGCAGTCTCTGGGTGCCGCCTTCCCCTGTTCAGTTTTACCACGGCCAGACCTTTCTTGTAGTTGTCCAGGGCATCTTCGTATTCCTCCCTAGCGACGAGGATGCGGCCAATGTCCGCGTATGCTGCTGCAGTCAAAGTATGTTTCCATCCATGCACTTTTTCATGGATCGCGAGGGCTTTCTTAAAGGCATCCAGGGAGCCATCCAAGTCCCCCAGGGCCTCCAAGACTTGCCCAACATAGCTAAGGGAAATTGCCGTCTCTGGGTGTTCCCTACCCAGCACCGTTTCATGGATTTCCAAAGCCTTCTGGAACTCCACCAATGCGGCGGCGTGGTCTTTTTTGTCATGAAGGATGAGGGCCATGTTGCTGTAGCAGGTGGCAGTGGTTTGGTGCTCCCGTCCCAGGACTAGTTCTGTTATCTTGAGTGCCTTTTGGTACATTTCCAACGCCCCCTTGTGGTCTCCTGTGGCGCGTAGCACCATCCCAAGGTTGTTATAGCTGGTTGCTGTGTCGGGATGTCGTTTTCCAAGCACGGACCTGCGGATTGACAAGGCAGTCTTGTGATGAGAGAGTGCCTCATCGTGCTGTCCAAGGCTGCTCAGCACCGTTCCGACATTGCTGTATGAGGCAGCCGTGTCCCGGTGCTGCTTGCCCAGCGCAGATTCGCGGGCCCTGAGAGCTTTTCTGTAGTACATCAAGGCGTCGCGATTGTTTCCTTTGGCTTCCAACACGGACCCGATATGATCATACGAGGTGGCAGTTTCCGCATCCTTTTTGCCGAGCTTGCCCTCGAGCATACGTGCAGCACTCTGGAATTCGGCCAGGGCATCCTCGTAATTCCCTTTGGTGTACAGCGCCATGCCAATGTTGTTACAGCATGTGGCGACTTCCAATGTGGAGGACGACCTGGTGGAGCCATCCTTTTTTCGCAAGGTCAGGTGGATTTGTAGGGCTTTTCTATACTTTTCCAAGGCAGCGTCGTGCAGGCCAAGTTTGTTCAAGAGAAGACCAATGCGGTTGCATGCTTTGGCATTCTCCAATGACTCTTCGATTCCATTCCACGAGAGCACCTTGCGATTGGACAGCGAGGACACAATTTCGAGCACCCAAGCTCTCAGCAGCTCATTGACTTGAATGTTCAAAGCACCACATCCCTGATTGTTCTCGACAATGTCCATGATTCTTTGTCGATCAGATTCCACAGTGGCCTTGGCTTTTTGGACCCTTGTCCGTGAGAGTGCCTTCATGAGCGTTTGAAAGCCATCCCCAGTGGACTCGCCCAGAACGTCTTTCTCAAATGCGGCCTTTTCTCTGGGTGGCATGAGTACGGATACCTTGCAATTTCCTTGCTGCGCAGTATGCATTTCAAAGATGCACCAAATTCGTTGCAGATACACTGGGTTGTGCCAGGGAGCCATCATGGCCAAAAGGTGGCCAGTGCCCGTGACTTTGTCTCCAAAGACGGTAAAGAAATCCACGGCATCTGGCGAAATGGTACCAGATCGCCTGCTTTTCTTTTGCTTTGCCACTCGGTGCTGATTGATGCAGAAACAACAGATCCACACATAGGTTCTCTTGGGATCTCTACCAGTGCTCTTGCAGAATTCCACTAGAGTATCTACAATGTCTCCAATAGTGTAGCTGCAGGGAAAGAATGATCAGAAGGGTTTGGGTTGGTAAGATAATCGCTCGTTACTGCAGTCTGTTTCAAGCTTACCTCCAAGAATAGCTGAGAATTTGAGTGGCCACACCCACATTATCCCGTCCCTGCACACAATGAACATAGGCTGCACCTTCCCTCCCATCTAGCGGGCACCGAACATTGGCGCCCTTTTGGCGAATAATTCCGGCTTCATCGTGTTCTAGATTTTCCAGCTGATAAATGCTGCAATCTCGATTCATCCCGGCAGCATAGACTTCCTGAAGAAACGTGGTGGCGAGGTATTGGACGCTCAATGCTCGGCGGCTCAGTTCGGCGGTTTTCCGTGCGTCCCACCGTTCTTTCATGGATGATAGCATCGACATGGTGATCTTGCTCGTCTTACTATATATATATATACTGTGGTCTGGAATACTAAAATAGCAAACTATCTCTTTGTTTTGTGATGCTTCCTTCGGCAAAGCAAGTTGTTGGTGACAGTTGGTCCTGTCTTCTGTTCCTCGATCCTCGATATGCATGCCGAATGGCAGAGACCATGGTTGCCACCAAGTTTTACGTGAACAGCAAACACTCTACTTAAAATACACGTCTGGAAGGCATTATTATTAGAAGACAGAAGATTTAAAAGCTCCGTGTTCTGGAATGACCAAGACTGCTCTCTACGGTACCGGTACCGAGTACAGACCGTACTGAAAACGGTACCGAGACACCGAGACCCGAGTGTAAAGTGGTACTGTAAAGTAAAATAAAAGGAGCAAAGGAAATAAAATTAATATTTCTTGCCCATGCAGCACCGTAGCTAGTCAAGACGACTTCCGTTGAGTGATTGATTTCTCGTCATTTTTTCGGCGATCTCAAGATCGTGATGGTGCCACCATGGCGGCAGCATGCAAGTAGCTAGCGATCAAAAGACGAGATGAGACAAGATGGGACAAGTTGCTTGTCGGCTAAGTGTCTCGATACTATGTTTGTGTTTGGCTTTGCTGCTTGTGAGGGTGTGGCGATTGGAATATCAAGCTTTGAGATATATCACGTCTAGTAGGACTTCTGCCCTCGACGAGCTGATTAGCATTGGCGTCGCTGCTGCCATGATGTCTGTCGCTGTCAACGAGTCTCAGTCGCAATACATGTACGATCAAGACAAGAGCCAAGACAATAAGTGTCGATCGCTGGATCTGGTTGTGCTGAGCTCTCGTGTCAACAACACTGAAATTCCCTTGAAGGGTTTCGTGCATTCTCTCTTGAGTTACACGACCAGCCCTATCCATCTCCATGTGGTATCCAGCGCACCTTCTAGCCGATATCAGTGGCTTCATCAAATCACTAACGCAACTTCAAACGAGAAGTCTTACTTTCGTGTGAGCTTTTACAATCCGCGCAAGCTCTTGCAACGATCGCTCGATCTCATTGAAAGCTCCAACCTTACGTTAGGGCATCCTTCCTCGCGATATGCCATTCAAAAGCTCTTTCTACCAGAATTAGACATTCGCCTTTCCTCTCCCGAAAACACCAAAGTACTCATGATTGACGATGATCAAATCTACTTTGAGGACATTACTCCTCTTTACGAGTACATTCATACTCCGCAACAGGATCAGCAGCAACTGTCTCTCCTTTGTGCACCCGATCGATTCAATATCCGAAAAATTTGCAAACGCAGAGGAGTGCCGCACAATTGTCACGACGACTTGTATTGTGTCAGCGGATTGGTGGGATTCCCCATGCGCAACCATACCGCACGACATCAACTGGTCCACGAACTCGAACAAACCGCTCACGACATGATGCAAGAGTATCCCAACAGCATTGCATCACAGGCCGATCAAGATATATTCAATCGATTCTTTCGATACAAGAGTAATGGCCACCGCACAGCAGACGACAACAACAACAACAATAGCAGCAGCACTACTGCAGCGGAACAACAACAAGTCCAGGTGATTCCCTGCGAATGGTCGTGTGGGACGGATGAATGCGGCAAGGTTCTCGGGAACATGCAGTGTCGCAATTGCGACTGGAAAAAGTGCAAGGCATTCCATTACCAAGTCAAGTCGTTTCTGGAGAATCACCAGCAACGAAAATCGGAATGGGCTTGGAGGCACTACTTTGAAATGGACTCCCTGCAGCTCTTGCAAGAAACGTTCATTCCCAACGTGCAACAGGCGTGTGCTGACAGGCACACATCAACTCGGCTGAAAGCACCAAGTATTGATATTGCATAATAAAGTAGCGAGTCAAGTACAACTGACAGACGCTGCTGCAAGTCGTCAACGTTGGCTGCAACAGATGGTCCCACCCCCTGGTCCTACACCTGGACCAAAATCACACTCCACACCAGCTCCTGCGCCGTGCTCAACCCACACATCTGGAACTACTCCTTGGACCAGATAGATGCGGCCCAACACCTGGGACCTTCATTCACTACGAGGATACACCGTATGCCACCGTGCACCTGCTCTCCGCGCAATCAAATGACGCCTCCCAGGAGAGTTAGGGAGAGTATCTACAGTGTATGTATAGATTAATAAATCAATATCTAACCTTACCATAAATGCTGTTTGTTAGTTTCCTTCATCATGAGACCCAGGGCAGTCATTGTTGCGTAGCCACTGGATCACTTGGGTTTTGTTGCTTCTTCTGCTTCTTCTGGCACGCTGCCATGTCCCTTCATCCCATGGACACCCATTTTCACGAGCCCACTTCAAAATTTCCAAGTACCCACCTTCAGAAGCATGGGCACAAGTCCGTTCATCCCATGGACAACCATTTGAACGAGCCCACTTAAAAATTTCCAAATGTCCACCTAGCAGCTTCAACACAGTTTCTTCATTCCATGGACAACCATTTTCGCAGCCCACTTATAATCTCCAAATGTCCATTTTCAGCAGCTCCAGCACATGTCCATTCGCTCCATGGACAACCATTCTCTCTTGACCATTGGAGAATTTCCAAATGGCCATTTTTGGCGGCCCGCAAGCATGTCCATGCATTCAATGAACAACCATTTTCACGTGCCCACTTTAAAATTTCCAAATGGCCACCTTCAGCAGCTGTAGCACACGTCAATGCACTCCATGGACAACCATTCTCTCTCAGCCATTGGAGAACTCCCAAATGACCATTTAGTGCAGCATCGGCACATGCTGATTCATCCCATGGACAACCATGCTCTCTTAACCATTGGAGCATTTTCAAATTTCCATTTCCAGCAGCTGCAGCACATGTCCGCTCATTCCATGGGAATCCTTCTTGTCGTGCCCATTTCATGACAGTATGATTTCCAATTTTGGCAATTGCAGCACAAACATGATTACGATCAGGTTTTTTGTTGCTGGAGTTGTCCTTGAGCCAGTACTCTGCACAGAGCAAATTGCAAAACGTTTCGCTTAAAACAGTGTCCGTGCTTTCCGCAGCATGTCTAGAAGGCCAACCATAGGGGTTATCGGTTACCATTCTTGGATTTTTCTTGAGTTCAATTTCACAGTACTCTTTGTAGAGTTGATTCATCTTTTTGTTCACAGCTGCTACAAAAGCGTACTGTCCAACACCAACAAAAGGGAGAATGCCTTCGATCAAAATCAAATCGTCAGCAAACAGAAGAGAATCAAAGGCAGCAGACATTTTCTGTTTCTTATTGTTGAGTGCACTGTTGCTATTGGCAACAGCAGTGGTTTCAGTGCCAGTACCATAATTGGTAGCAATACAATCAGAAGACATGACACTACCAAGAGGAGGAACTATCTCAACAATGCCAGTGCCAGTAGAATGGTAGCAGTGATTATTAATAGATCAAAACGTGATGATGGTGGTCTCCGTTATACCTACCGTATACCACTACAGCAATAACACCTAGAGCACAATATTGTGAAACCCCCTCCTGTCGCGGGAGGATCGTTCAAGCCATCATAGCCGGAAGGGTACCGATGTTTCGAGTTGCACCCGGAAGTTCAAGCTTCCACAGGTACCAGCACCACCACAAGAGAACAACAAACCCATGGAACCATATTTATATAGACACAATTCACAGAGAGTCACATGAGTTACATGCAGAAAAAATATCTATCTAGGAAGAATATCCCCGTTTCTCTTGCTTCTGGCTTTCGCATCCCCAATGACTATTCCTTTGATTCCGACGCTTCCTCTGGCGGAGCCATTGGCAACCGAAAGAACCTCACAGCATTGGCCGTGGTAATCTTGGCCAAATGCTCACTGGTCTGACCACGACAGGCTGCCACGGAATCGCAAATGTGGTTCAAATAGGCAGGTTCATTGCGGCGATCTTTTTTGGATGTTCGACGATCGGGGGGCAAATCCCGAGGGTACAAAAAGGGAGCATCGGTTTCAATCATGAGGCGATCGTCGGGTATGAGCGGCACAATCTTGCGCAGTGCCAACCCCCGTCGCTCGTCACAGACCCATCCCGTAATGCCAATGTAGCAGTTGGGCAGGGACAAATAATCATTCAAAGCGTCCTGTGTGCCGGTAAAGCAATGGACAATCGACGCCGGTAGCTTGTCCGCGTACTGGGAAAGAATTTGGAAGAAATCGGCATGGGCATCCCGTTCGTGCAAAAAGACGGGCAGCTGCAGTTCACGGGCCAATTCGAGCTGTTGCACAAACCAGTGCCGTTGGACATCTGGTGGTGAAAAGTTGCGATTGTGATCCAGACCGCATTCCCCAATGGCCACTACTTGATCGGTGCTGGCCAAGCGTCGCAAACTCTCTATAGTAGTGTCGTCATTGCAGCGCTTGGCGTCGTGGGGATGAACTCCGGCTGTGCAGTAGAGCTGTACGTCGGGACAGGAAGACTGTGCCGTGGCGCAGTACTGTTGTGCTTCCTGGCTGGCCTTTACGGACGTGCCAGTCAAAATGAGAGCTCTCACATTGGCTTGTTCCAAACCTCGGTGAATGACGTCCTCTCGATCTCGATGGAATTGTTTGTGAGTCAGGTTGATCCCAATGTCCACCAAAGGCGGCGAGGATTGGGTAGTGGTGGCAGTTGGTGTCGTCATTGCTGTTGAACGATAGGTGAAACCCAAGAAGCAGTTCAAGATTATGAGCCTTCTGCCTTGGCAGCATAGCAACATCGATAGAGACGGTACGTTTGATCCACGATGGAGACGTTGATGCTGTCAACAGGCACGTCTGCTATCCGCAGCTGCCAAGAAAAGATCAAGTACCCAAGCAAGTCCATTCCCGCAGTCACGAATTGAATTTTTATAATTTAATCACGGAAAAAACCAAAACTCATGAGCTGAGGTGCCAGCCACGGTATCAATGCATACGTCTCTTCATTCCAAGGACAACCTTTGGCTCCTGCTATTGCACTGCACTGCACCAAGGTGACTTAGATCCGAATATTTGCGCGAGTACGGTACGATAGCCGCATTCCAATTTCGACTTGAGAAAGCCTGTGTTCAACAACGAGAAAGCACATATCTTCGTCCATCCCAACGGTACTGTACAAGTCCATTCTCCCATCCTCCCAGCACATCAGTTCAAGAGGACTTTCAAGTCCCGATTTAGGTTGCTCCACCTCAGCATCCACTCAACTCGCACCCCAGACCATCTCGAGCAGCCCACTAGTCTTCTAGTAGCTAGAGTTGCCAAAAGAGAGTTACAGGCAAGAGGTGAATAAGCATAGCTATGGTACGTAGCCAGGCTCCAAGTTATAGTGATAGCAATAAATCTAGACTCTCTACTAGCTAGCTGGCTAGCTAGCTAGCTAGTCTACTAGCTTTTAGAAACTGTGATAACTCACTCGATTTACCGGCCTTCAGCTAGCTAGTGCCTTGCAAAACTGCCACAAACAGGTCCAAAGAACAACAGATGTGTTTCAAAGAAATAAAGATCATGGTTGAACAAGTTGCTTTGGTACAGGAAGTTGTTACCACTGGAACACTGGAACCTTATACGAGTAGATAAGCATGAATGAGACTGGCTACTGCAAGTTAGCTGTCTAAGTCATATTTTTGGGTTTTTGCCTGAAAGTCGACTGTTTTGTCCAAGAGCCTTTGGCACAATGACCTGTGCATGACCTCGATTGAAAGGACATGGAATGAAGATAATCAGCAATGAGCAGTAGCTTGCTTGACAGGGTTTGTGCTCTGGGCAACGCACAGGGATGATAAGCATCTTCCAAGTAGTTCCTTCCTATCTGTATCTACCATTATAATACTTCGGAAATTTTTGGTACAGAGACAAACAGCAGAGTTGGGTTTCTTCGCGAGTATGATACCGTACGGTAGAACTGATCCTATAGCACCTTGCTCTGTCCTCCCTGTTGGCTGTTACAACGAGGGTGAAGCAAAGCACAAGGTACCGGCACCATCTGCCAAATCGTCTTAGTACTTAACTAGAGGGCAACTTAGCCCATTGAGATTGCATTGTATGCGAGCCCATTGGATTTTGTTTAATTCTGGTGGGAGGTCAGTTCTAGGCCCCTCCCAAGTAGGCACCTTTGCATGTCTGAGGTATACGGGTCCTCTATGGCTCCGCCGAGGAGAACAACCTTAATAAAAATTTGTTACTTACAACGAGGGTCAACATTGTACTTTGCATGCATGCAGATGCACCGTGGGAGCAGAGAATGTTACCAATAGCATCCGGTACTACCGTACCGGTAGCAGGCAACAAGCACCACTAGTCGAGTAAACAAGCAAGCGGTCTGATACTACAGGCCATGCTATACAATGCTTTATCCAATTAGTTATCTGCAGCATTCAATCCATGTCTCTATTGAATCCTGGTTCGCGAACGGAATGACTGAAAGAGCAACTGAAAGTCTCTCGCGTAACGTGTTGTGTCTGCTTTTATCACCAACCCTTTTGTGTGTGGCCATCGAGGTTATGTGGCGGCAACCACGCACCAATAACAAGCGGTGGGAAAGTTGCAGGCAGCACAAAAGAAAAAAAACCATTGCTTCAGAGATAGACAATGTTATTGAAGCCCACGACGATGGGGCCGCTTAAACTCCAAAGTGTATTTGGCAAGAAAGATGGCACCAGTAATAGTAAGGATGAGAAGGATACGGCATCGGTACGTTATCTAGTTATCTAGTTAGATAGTGGGGTATATACCCCGATTGGGTAGCAGGAGCTTAATGGCTGACGTTCTGACCAATTGTTCTTTGCTTTGGGTATATATATGGTGTGGGTATATATATATATAGGTCAAGAAAGCAGCACTGGCATCTCCCAAGAAACCTGGATCCATGAGAGACTTGAATGTCGGGAGTAGTAGTCGTCATGCAGCTCCCAAGACGACAGGTAGCTTGGGAGGACGAAAGGCGACTCGAGGCGTCGGCATGCGACAGTCCTTTGGCACCCAACAGTCGGCCCGTAATATGCCTACGAGTAGTCAATCAGGAGCTGCCGCTGCGAAACGGCGTGGTACCATTGCGGTTGCTCCCACCATTAGCGTGACTACTCCTAATAATAAGAAGGAAAAGAACAACAATTCACAGCCAGCAGCAGCAGCCAGTGGTGGTGGTCACTGGGGAGACTTGGACTCTTCTTCCGACGAGGAAGAAGAAGACGACAAGCCAAAACCAGTCAAGAAAAGTTTGGAACAAACCACTTTTGATTTGATTGCACAGACAGCCGCCCCAAAGAGTCCCGTCGCATCCCACAAACCGGCGGTAGTAGCAGCCGCTGCCGCTGGAATTGGTGCCGTGGCGGGTGGTGGCGCCGCGGTAGCCAAAACGGGCATGGGCGTGGCAGCCGCTGGAATTGGTGCTGGCCTCAAAGTGGGTGAATTGGGGGTTGGAATCACCCGGGGAATCACCAAGGCGGGAATGGGCGCTGGAATTGGCATCACGAAAGCTGGAATTGGAACCATTAAAGATTTTGGAGCCGCCAGTATGAGTACTCTAGGTCTGCGAGGGACTTTTCGTAGCAGTCGAAATGCCAAGTCCTCCAATGATGCTCCTGATGTCAGTAAAATTTTAAGTCATCCCGGAGTATTGGAAGCCAATGCAGAACCAGAACCACCCACCAAAGAGGAGGAGGATGGTGATGATACTACCGCTAGCAAGAAAGAAAAGAAAAAGGACAAGACAAAAAACGAGACGGAAACACCTGCAGAAGAAGAAGAAGTAGAACAGGAAGATCAGGAAGAGGATTCAGCAGCAGACGACCAAAAAGAAGAGGAAGAAGAACCCAAGGAACTCTCAACGTCGGAACGATTGGCACAACGATTGGCCCGACAACACAGTAGTAGTCATGACAATCATCATCCACAGGCTCCTGCTTCAATGCCCGATGAAGAAGACTTGGGATACGGAGCCGCCATGCCCACGGGGTCCAACCACAGCCTCCATCAACAGGACCTCCATCGGGACGGTGGATACGATCAACAATCATACGATGATGACGAAAATGACGACGACGATGGCGACGATTTTGGTGGAGACAATAATGGCGAAGAATACGTGCGAAGAATTGCGCCTCGTCGGTACTCCAGTGGAGGGAAATTGGACAACAAATTAGAAAGAGGACAAAGTAAATCGGCAACTGCCGCCCCCTTGTCCAGTCAGTCCTTGGGCGGCTCCCTCGAAAGTGGCCTCGGAAATGCCAGTCTCTCCCGCGTACCACGGCGTCGACCAGGACGAGGTGGAGGACCCGGGCGTGGTGGAGGACCCGGACGTGGCGGACGACGCAGTATGATGCAACGAAGTTCCAGTGTCACCAACATTCGCGTACAGCAGCAAATACAACTGACCAACTCGTTACATGCTTCCATGGCCCATCATGACGAACACGATGACCATCATGATTTGGGATACAACGAACCCATGGGCGGTGGTGGTGGCATGCCCAGTCCCGAAGAATTATACGGTCGAGGCATGCCCAGTCCCGAAGAATTATATGGAGACATGGGCGGTGCGGGACGTCGCATGAGTGGTGCGCACAAACAACGGCGCAGTATGGGATACGGACAAACCGAAGACGACGACGATTCCGATCATCGTGGCCCGTCGGTACGAAAGGGCAGTATGGGGTTCGGCGGACGGAGACCGTCCAATGGTGGTGCAGGACGGAGACTTTCGAATGGAAGACGCATGAGTGGCGATCATCGGCCGAAGAGAATGGGCAGTATAGGACACGGCGGGTCCGCCGACAACAACAACAACAGACGGACCAGCATGGGACAAAACTCGGAACGGAGTGAGGGAGGCAGAAGAGGTGGTGTGGGACGTAGCGTCAGCCGGGAACGAGGAGGCGATGGAAGTAGGCGAGGAGGCGATGGAAGTAGACGAGGAGGCGATGGAAGCAGGCGAGGCTCGGTCGGTCGCAGCGTGAGTCGAGACCGAGGTGGTGATGGCAGCAGACGAGGCTCGGTCGGACGCAGTGTCAGTCGAGAACCTGCTGGAGAGATGAACGGCAGTAGGAGACGACGTGCGAGTGTTGAACGAGTGGAAAATTCGCAGCATCAACAACAACAACTCACGCCAGACCAACATCGACGCCGTAGGGGAAGCGTCGATCCCAAGGAGGATTCCCCTCCCGATAATAGCAAGAGACGCCGTAGTGTGTCGAGACGCGGAAAATCCCGTGACGTAAAAGATTCCAGTCACAAGCGATCCAGTCTCTTGGGCAATGATTCCGAATCTGATCTCAATTCCAGTTCTCGAGGCAAGAGCAGTGCCCTTGATAGCTCACAACATCGCAACAACCATAACAGACGAAGAGCCAGTGTCGAACAAAAAGATTCGGATACCGCAGTTGACGGAGATGCCAAAAAAACAAAGGCAAGTAACGACAACCAACACGAGGATACCGACAAGGATGCAAAGAAAAAGGTGCGACGAGCCAAGAGTGACGGTGTTGTAGATGGTACTGGCACCAGCAGCAATAAGCTGGACAGGAAAATTGGAAGTGAAAAGGGTGCCAAGCAACAAAAATCCTTTAATGATTCTATCAAAAGCGGGAACAGCCATGGAAGCACCGGTAGTGGTAGCACAGGAAGTAACAAGAGCGGAGGAGGGGGGCGCGCAGCAAAGTTGGATCGAATGCTCAACAAAAAAAGCAAGACGAAAAAGAAATCACTCCATGACTCTTTAAAAAGTGGAACCAGCCTCGAAAGCACTGAAAGCGCTCTTAGCACGATGAGCGGCCCCGCGGCAGCTGGAAAGAGTCCAGGTCGAAGGGGCAAAAAGAAAAAGTCAATGGGCTATGGGGAACTGGTCAGTAAATACACCATGAGCCCGCGACGTGACGATGACACCGATTCCGACGAGGACAGCGACCTCGAGAGAAGCGTCAGGAGCTGCACTGCTCTGGGAAGAGCCCATGAGCTTTCCTCAAAAGCAAAAGATCTTGCCTTCATTCATAGTGCAAGCAGCAGCATGCTAGATACTTCACACATGCTCCCCTTGAGTGGTGACATTGCGATGGATGGCTTGGTCGCCAAGGCCAGAAAAGGCCGGAGCTCTGTAAAGAATCAGGGTCTCGCTGGTTTCATGCCAAAAAGCTTGGGTATGAACGACGACCCGGATGACGAGGGAAATCCCTTGAGAAATTGTCGAAGCAAACCAGTGCGGTCAATCAGTCTAAATGAACCTCGGAAGAAGAAAGGCAACAAAGTTGTGAGAACATTCAGCATGAGAAACGCTGTTGGTGGTGGGTTGTTACACAGCGACCATTCCAAGAGGGATGATAGCGATTTCGAGGACGAATCTGTCACGGATCACATTATCAGTTACAGCAGTGACGAGAACTCTGATAGTGACCCCTTAGACAACAGCCAACGTAGTGACAGTGGCCATGGCTTCAGTGGCGAGGAAGATTCTGACAAAAAGAAGGGAAAATCAAACAAGCACGCCAAGTTCGTTGCAAGCCAGAAGCCCAAAGGAGATGCTCTCCGTCCGCGTGAAGTGGCGGCTGTTCTTGCTCGGAATGCGACGCCTGAGAATCAATCCAAGTCGGGATCTTTTGGAAACCTCGTTTCGGCTACAAGATCTAGCAATGGTGGTCTTGATGATTTTGACAATCCAATGATGGACAATTCGGGTGATTCAGTAGACCTATGGGACGAGTTCGAGAATGGATCTATAATGGATTCCGACTCGAATTCTTCGGGAGGGACAGAGGCATCCGTAGACATGGTAATGTCGAGCAGTTGCAGAATAGTGAACTGGGACGATCCGGACAAGGATGAAGTAAGGACTGACTATTTGGACCCATCAATGTCACCCCGGGTATCTTCCCAAAAGAAGCACAAAGTGAAAGACCTGTTTGAGATCGAACATATGCCTTTGCCAGGAGGGAAGAACGCTGCTAAGAACGCGCGCTCAAAGCGGGCCTCGCTACTCAGTTTTGGCGCTTTTTCCATGGACGACAGCTTGCAGGATGACAGTGTTAAAGGGGGTTCCGTTGAGGGGTCCGACTCTCCCAAGCCAAAGAAAACTCATAAGAAGCCAAGATCGAAGAGAGATCTTGTCAAAAAGAACGGCGGTTTCGACTGGGAAGGAAAAGCAAAGGAAGAAAAAAAACGCGACAAGAAGAAGAAGGATGACCTATCTTCCAGTCAGCACTCCAACAAGAAGGATGGATCCAAGAAGGCCAAGCTAGTGCGCAACATAAGCGATGACACTGACGACAAAAGTCCAAAGGACGAAAAGAACCCAGGCAACAACACAAAGGTCAGTCGAGCGGCCTCTCTCAAAGGATTTGGGAAGAGCGCTGGCATGGATGCCAGCGGTCATAAGAAGTTGCCTCCCCTCAAAAAGGACAAGCTTCGAAGATGCGCAAGTGCGGACATGGACACAGACACGGATGCTGATACCATCACTGAAATGGTCCCATTCAAAGAGCAAAAGCGGGCAAGTAGTGGAAGTAACCTTTTGACACCAAAATCCGAAAAGAAAAGACGAGCAACCATAGCCTCTGGAATCCTTGCAAAAGGAAGTGGCTCTTCCAAATCTACTAGGCACAGATCAAAGTCTCCGACCTCAAAGGGCACGGACGAATCAAAGGCCACATCCAAGTCTCGTCGCACTGCACGACTATCCGTTGATGCCAAGACTCGGTCTGTGAAGCGATCCAACACAGAAAACCAGGTGACTTCAAAAAGTGGAACTCTTGTCAAGTCTAGCAAAACTGGCAAAGGTGTTCCCCGCCGAACAAAATCCTTGGGCGTAGCTGGTGCTTACAAAGAGGCCAAGGGCGAGAAGGGGGGGTCCTATGCCACTGCACCCAAATCTCGAGCCGCCTCTATAAAACGATCCAACTCAGCCAAGAAACTTGGCGATGATCCATCCCGCAGGGACAGAAGTAAACTGAGAAAGAAGAAGTCAGGGGGCGACAATGATGCTAGCGACGAAGAACCCACGGAATTGCAGAAACTTCTAGTCGACAACCCCGAGGGCTTTATTGGTTTGATCGAGAGAGACTCATCGAAGGCAGAAGAGAAGGACAAGGTTGGACGCCTCCCTCTCCACATAGCTGCACAACGAGCATTTCCAGCGAATTTGTTTGACAAACTGATCGGCACGTTCCCCGAGGCCTGTGACACCCAGTGCGATAACGGATACACTCCGTTGCACTTTGCGGTGGAGAAGAATATCCCACTACCCCTCATCAAGATTCTGATCAAAGCGTGTCCTCGTGCCCTAAAAAAGCAAGACCGGAAAGGTCAAATTCCGCTACACATTGCGGTGAGTCAAGGCGCTAGTCTGGCCAACATTCGATTGCTAGTTTTCATCTACCCCGAGTCGGTTGACATTGAAACTGCCAAGGGTGAAACCGCTCGCAAAATCGCCAAGCGCAAGAAAGCTAGCGCTGAGGTGCTGAACGAATTGAAGAGCAGCAACAAAGCGAGCGGCAAAAATTGAACCTGATGTGACAAGTTGTATCATATTATACATTTTCTATACGTAATTTTAGTTTGCATTATAGATCTAGCTGCTCAAATCGACGGAATACAAATATGATGTTTTCGCCTGGCATTGCTTTACAACCGATCTTCAATTCCACGGCAAAACGTTGTTGCTGCAGGCTGGCACTATGTGACGGCGCATGGGATGTCTGTGGTAATGGCTCCGCTCTCTGTAGCTAGCTAAGCAGATCACCTGCTCCTCCAGCAACGAAGGCCACTTGCCCATGTCCCCGATGCTGCAACGGTCCAAGATGTTATTGTTGTTGCTGCCGCGACCCACCGCTGGGCTATGCACTATTTTGCTTGGGCTATAATGCTGGCGGCAACGCACGACAGATTATAGCCAGACTCATAAAGCTAGGTAGGCAAGCTTTGCATGCATGCAATGACATTCTGGGACACCTACAGGGCTATTGTCTACCCCTGTCTACACTATGGCCTGACAGCTAGCTGCTAGCTGCTAGGAGTGCTAATAAGTGGTTTGGGCTTAAGGCTATAGAGCTGTTAATGCTACTATTGCTTTGTGCCTAACCCAAGTTGTGTGAGTGGTGGCATTGGCAACACTCATACAGCTGTGAACTCTTTTCAAAAACAAAAGGGTGGGATGGGTAAGGGAAAGCGAAAACATGAGCAATGCGCTTGTGTAGCTCTAGTAACCATCTGTAGGTGACCATTTATCATTGCTCTGGTCTGTTGGAAGAGGAATGAAGAATGAGGAGGAGCGAGAGGACTGCAGAGGTGCGAGTCTTCTTCGGATCCGCGGTACATTCCTCTAGACGCACACTTGCTCCTACTTTGATGCTCTGGACTATAATGGCTGGCGCAACGCACCGACAGATTATTAGCCAGACTCAAAAGCTAGGTAGGGCAAGCTTTGCATGCAATGACAATGACATCATCTGGCGACCCTATCAGGCTATTGTCTACCACCTGTCTACACCTATGGCCTGAGCTACTGCTAGCTGAGCAGTACTATAAGTGGTTTGGGCTTAAGGTATAGAGCTGTTAATGCTACTATTTGCTTTGTGCCTAAACCAAGTCTGTGTGAGTGGTGGCATTGGCAACACTCATACAGCTGTGAACTCGATGGTGCTCCATGCTCGGAGTGAGGGATGGATTGGAACGATCCGTGCCATGGAAGGTTCCACGTGCATCTCTTAGGCCGGGTAGACA